TTGAATAATTTGAATTTAAGAGTCCGATTGTATCCAAAATACACATCACAATGCTTTTGTTAACCCAAGGTCTGGTGTGAAGGTGGAATATATCGGTCCACTCCCTCTGGTACCTCCCTCACAAAAGGTCAAATTTTTGAATATAAATGAAGCTCAACATCCGATTTCTTTCAGAATTGGTATATCTCAATATTTCCATCAACATAAGATCTGTTATAATGATGGTAGAGATCGGACCATTTCTTCTTAGAATAACAAAAACCTATCATAAAATCCATAATAAGCATCCGGTTTTCTTCACCTTTCACACATCCCATTATTTACACTAAAACAAGATATGCTGTGAAGATGGGATATATCGGTCCACTCCCCCTGGTACCTCCCCCACAAAAGGTCAAAATTTTTAATATCTACGAAGCTCATAAAATGCGAAATTAACATCCGATTTCATTCAGACTTGGTACATCTCAATATTTCCATCAACACAAGATGGTAAGGATCGGACCATTACTTTTGATACCTCCCACATATAGGGTTCTAGGTTCAAATTTCACACATACAAACATTTTTGCTAACACAAGGTCTGTTGTGAAGATGATATATATGAAAAAAACTGCAACCAACTTCAGACTGCTGTCATTTCTAAGCCACTTGTCCGACAGCTGTTAAAATTATTCCAGTAACAGCTTATTATATTGTTTACAAGCGTACTAAAGCATTTTGGTGAGAATTTTCCAGAAAAAAAGTTATTCGTGATAGTGTGATTTATTTATATTTGGCTGGGAAAACCACATGTGGCTACCGTTAGAGTACTCCAGCCTTTTAATGTGAATAAATCTTTTGCGTAGCCCGACGTCAAGGAAGTGGTAGGAAGAAAACAGCAACATCAGCAGAAATGGTTCGAAAAGTAAAGAAGTGACTTGATCGAAATCCGCGTCACAGTGCCCGAAAAAATGGCTCGTGAGTTGAGCATATCGCATTATTCCATTCCGCAAATATTGAAAAATGAGCTCGGGGTAAAGCCATTCAAATTCCAAAAAGTGCAACAGAAAGAAAATAGACTTAAAAGAGGTAAAGAGTTGCTTCGCTTGGCCAATAGTGGTGAACTGCCGAATTGGGTTTTCTCCAATGAGAAAACATTCGTTGTCCAGTAGTTTGTGTTTACTTGCCAAAGAGATCAGCTGAAAATGTGTACTTCGGTTGGCCACCAGGACTCAAACGCCGGCCATGGTGATGTTGTGGGCCGCCATAACAGCCGATGGTCGCTCTCCGCTCGTATTAATAGACCGTGGCATCAGAATAAATGGCAAATATTATCGCGAAAAAATTCTGGAGTGTGTGTTAAAGCCTTGTGCACGCAAATATTTGGATCGCAGACCTTGAACATTCCAACAAGACTCAGCACCATCGCAAGAATGATTACAAAAGTAGGTTCCTCGCTACATTTCCAGCGAACAATGGCCACCAAAATCTCCGGATACCAATCCGTTGGACTATTGTGCCTGGAGTATTTTGGCAAGGAAGGTTGGCACTAAAAAATACCAAAGTGTCAATCACCTCAATCAATCGCCTTGCCGGGAATGGGCCAAAATACCGCAGAGCAACATTCCAGCAGCGTGTGACGGTTTCATTGGCCGTTTGAAGGCTATAATTCGTGCCAAAGGTGACCAATTCGAACAAATCTAATATTATTCTAAAATTTAATGCTACTTCCGAAATGTTTTGCTTTCATGCAAAACAAATGTAAAAACTATGGCGTTTGACTTTTCTGCAGTTTTTTTTTATCTCACCTTGTACAGCGTATGAATATTTTTGGTCGATCAGACAACCCCCCCTTTGCAAGTTTTGGGATTACTTAAGAATTCTTTGAAGTCAATGTCAAACTACACGACTCGGTATGTGTTGTCTCGGAAACCCATTGTCAGCGGCGTATGTTTCCATGCGATTTGAAATAACAACAAAAATACGCATTTAAATTATGTCACGTCTAATGTCTGAACTATTTCCATGTAGCCAACTAGCTACAAAATCGTACATACATACATACCTGCATGCAGATATAACAGTCCATTAATAAATGCAATTAATTTGCCAAGAGACATAAAACAATTACAACAACCACATCAACATAAACATATTATTTCATTATTATTTGGCATTTATAGTGAAAGCAAAAATCACTTTGGCAATGGCCAAATAATATTCAGCTCCTGCAACATCTCGAAGAGATTTCTTACATGAGCAACACAACATTTCTAGATTTATGACCCCAACACAACGCTGACATTGGGTTGTCTGTCTGTCTGGCTGTCGGTAATATGTGGAGATTCATATGCAACACACATACACACACATTTCCACATAAAGCCACATCTAATATTTATTGTTTTATTACAGCGATTATTACAACAATTGCAAAAAAACGACACAAAGCGAAGAAGATGTCAAAGACTCCGGTAATCTTTTGCAGAAACAAAACAAGACAACAAAAAAACCAAGGCACTGTGGGAAATTGTTGCCAAATGCATTTCTTTCAGCATAGATTACATTTAAATGCACAGCCACACATACATACCTACATGTGTGAGTGTGAGTGTGTGTGTGTAAACTGATATGAATGTGGGCATGCAAATGAGATATGAAATTTCATTGGGTAGTCGTCCGAAGACGAGCAAAGACTAATGATTACCCTGGTTGCCACATGCCTACGCTGCCAAAGAGCGTCGGTCGCATCATCGTCGTCCATCGTCCCAACGCCAAAGAAGTCACGTTACGCATACTTATGACGACCGGTTGGGGTTATGTCGTCGCTAATCATTCATACCGCCATACCATCGCGCTGCAGACAGTACAATGATAATTTATGCTTTTGTGCCACCACCATCATCTTCGTCATCATGATCAGCCAGCGATTACTTAACGATTTGCACAAACGGACATGATAATTGTAACAATTGCCACAAAATACGATGGTTGGTGCGCAGCTTTACTCCGCCCGGCAATCCATTACACTTCTTTATATTCACGACAATGGCCAATGAAACCCGACGCTCGGCCTTCTTCACATGTTTTTTTTTTATCAATAAACATATGATGACATAATTTTGGAAGCGTTTGATAGGCGTTCTACAACAATGTTTTGGCAGTGGATTGAATCTTAGATAAAATTTGAAAATTTTTTCGAAATGTCCCCATAGATATAAATGGTGTACGGGGGTGAGATAAAAAAACCTTTGTTGCAGTTTTTTTATCTACGTCATAATTTTTATTTTTTTTTTTAAATTTTATTGAATGAAAGCAAACAATTTCGGAAATAGCATCAAATTTTAGAATAAGTTTAGATTTGTTCGAATTGGTCACCTTTGGCACGAATTGTGGCCTTCAAACAGTCAATGAAACTGTTACACGCTGCCCGAATGATGCTCTGCGGTATTTTGGCCCATTCCCGGCAAAGCGCTTGCTTGAAGTGATCGACACTTTGATATTTTTTAGTGCCAAACTTGCTATCCAAAATACAACAGACACAATAGTCCAACGGCTTGGTATCCGGAGATTTTGGTGGCAATTGTGCGCTGGAAATGAAGCGAGGAACCTCATTTGGTGGCGCGTGCTGAGTGCGATGGTGCTGAGTCTTGTTGGAATGTCCAAGGGCTGCGGCCAAAATGTTTCTTCCATCTACTTCCTTGACGTCTGGCTACCAGTATCACGGTAACGAGCGATGGTACGAGACACAAACGATTTATTCACATTTAAATGTTGGAGTGTTCTAACGATAGCCACTTGTGGCTTTCCAGCCAAATGTAAAGAAATCACTCTATCAAGCTTAAATTCCATCACTAATAAATTTTTTTCTGGAAAATTCTCACCAAAATGTTTTGTACGCTTGTAAACAATATAATGAGCTGTCACTGGAATAATTTTAACAGCTGTCGAATGCGTGGCTTAGAAGTTGGTTTCAGTTTTTTCATCTCACCCTGTATAAGGGGTATACCCAAAACTTGGTGTGCGAAGAAATTGTGATTTTCTGCTCTGGGTATGTCCTGCACCTAAATTTTGTAAGTAGCCGGCTTTTGACGGTGGCTTGAGAATTTCTCCTGGAACGATTCAGATATTTCTAATTAATTAATTATTTTTGTAAGTAGTCCACACAGCAAACGGCCATACTCCACATGGTGATTGTGTCCGGGCTAGCAATTGCTTGTCTGGTTTAAAAAAAGTTCTGTGAACAGGCTATTAATGTCTGGGTGATTTTAAAGATGAAAGCACTTGGGTAAACACGTGAAAGAAAATTATAGCTATATAGTATGACGATCACACAAGTTTCTATATACACCCAAGTATTGAGTTGTGAAAAATCTGCAAAACAAAATGAATATTGATTTGGCATTTAACAAGAGTTATTGTTCACATTGGGCATACATTACGATGCACTAAATGTGGATGAAATAGGATATTCTTTTCGGGAGACCAACCGACAGAGATTTTTGGCGCATCACATGACCTTTCCATAATAGACCTTCATTTCCAAAAAAAAAAACTGCACAACCCAGGGTATTTAACGTTGAGAACATTAGCAATGATGAAAATATAAAGTTAATCGCTTACTAAAATTCGCTTTAAATTTTTGACTATAGGGATTTCAATATATAAGTACAGAGTTCATATATATGTATACCCGAGTTTACTACGCAATGAATAGAGAAATGTACTTTTTTAAGAAAAAGGTATCAGTTCATTGAGCGACGATCGGGTAAAGTCAAAAAGGACAACAAAAATGAAAATATACATTTTATGCCTTTGCAGACCCTCCAGAAATGGCTTGTGCGTGATTTTTGTAGAATATTTAAATGTTAAATATCTTATCTCTATTTATATTGGCATATAGTTCTAGTTCCGGCACCATATGAAGCGTGGAAATTCATATTTACCTTGGAATGCCGGACAATTAATAAATCCGAAATACTTGTATATAGTCTATTAATTAACGCCTTTCCTTGCAGATTCATCAGCATAGAAAATGTGTGGATATGAGACATACTTGCCTACTCTTGATGTTGGGTATTGTGGCCCCAAGTATGAGTTTGGCTGCTGCCCCACCGCCCCTAGACTACTTAGTACCACCACCACTGCCCGCGGCAACAGCAGCAATATCTCCGCCCGCCACACGTTTACATCCTGCCCCAAGACCGGCAAATTCGTTACCCAGCGAAAGTCGTACTGTGCCACATTATGCCTTCCCCAATGGTCAAGCCTTCGCCAAGAACGTTAATGAGCCAGGTCTGATAAGTCGAATGGCTAGATGGTTTGGATTTGCTAACGAAAACTACGCCCAAGATTCTCAAGGAGCGGCTACGAATAATCAGCATTACTATTATCCGAAACCGCAACAGCAAGGATCGGGGAGCAAGGAACCTTGTAATTTATGCAACAAATATCCCTGGGTGCCGATGATGCACAACAGCGTCCAGTACCCATGGGATCCCAGTAAGCAACAACAGCTAGCCGGACAAGGACACTTGTACAAGCAGCCGCCAGTGCCACAATTGCAACATGCCGCCTCCAATCTCAAACAACGGGCCGTCCAATTCCTCTTTCCACCCGCAGCAGCACCACCACCTCCGTCTCACGCGGGACATCACATTCCACAACAAATTCCAAATAAAGGAGGCCCGGAGCCACAATCTCACCATCAGGTGCAATACTCTTCGGGGCCATTTATTCCAATTCCCATACCGAGTTTGAGTAATTCTGCACAACCACCCATTTACAATGCCCGGCCATTCAATCAACCAACAGCGGGACAATCCACGCAATTCACTCCTCAAACTTATCACCCGCAGCATCCGTCCAACAGCCCCAGCTCATTGCCGGCAACTCAGCAACAGCTTCCTTCAACAGAGGCGGCCCACTTCACCGATGCTATAGCATCGGCCCATTCTGAAATACATCTCGACACGGTGATTCCAACACAAATCCCCCCATCCACACAAAATAATGAAGCCAGCTTTGAAATTATAAAAAGTCACCAGGTGGCCGACTACATCTCTTCCGTCGAATATCCGGCTGCATTCGTGCAAACCCAGGCCTTTGATGTGCAATCAACCAGTTCCAGTTTGGCAGGAAATCACCAGACGGACCATAAACCTGTAGTTAATACAGGACGCTATCAGCACTCTACCTTGAGTCCATATCTCAACCAACACATTCCGGCCTCACAAATACTCACAGAACCAGGAAGTTTTGTCCTTGACAATCAGTATCAACAGTCCACACTTCCAGCACAGGTCTATGATCAGAACACAACGATTTACGAATCCCAGGACCATGGCTATGACATCGATAACTTCGTTGCAGCTTCGGTGAAGAACAATTCAATTCACGCCGAGGGCAATTCATACGATTCGTGGACCCTGGAATCAAATGACTTCGTATACGCCACCACCACACCTGAAGTGTACACCCAGACGGAGACTGAAGCCACGACAACCCTCAGGCCAGACTTTTACTCCACCACCACCGAGTCGGTGCAGAGCAACGATGTGGAATTTGTCGCTTCCGTCCAGACCAGCAAGCAGATGTCGTCGACTAAACTGTGGCCTCAGAAGCCACGTGATCGAGAAACACCGAAAAGAATGTTGGATTCTCCAATCCAACACCTCAATGGTGGTCTGGGTGCACCAAGACCCTTCACCAGAGATCCGGCCGATTTGGGCCTAAGAGCGGTGGCAAACAATCACAAATTCTATGAAGAGACAGGACATCGACAAAATTCCCTATCGCCAACTTCGCCAACGCCAACATCAACTTACAGCTCCATAGATGCCAGTGGCCATTATGCGGGAATGTCACCGCCAGCCGTAGTCACTCAGGCCAATCGGCAGCCCTTCATACCCTTCACAACCAAAGTTCAACCTCGTCCCTTCGAGCCAACGAAAAACGCCAGCGACAAGCCTCCAGCAACTCCCTCATTCTCAGATTGGATTCAGGCGCAGAACTCCGATCTTCATACCCCAGCAGAGACAATGCTGGTCAATGTGAAGTTGAATCCCATTACAACGTCAACAACGACAACAACAACAGTCAAGCCGCGTCCCACCAAATACTTAACGAAAATCCTTGCGTCGAACATCAGGGAGTTATTGCAACGAGAACACACCCCGTCCACGAAACTGAAACAAAGTCCCAACTCCTTGAGTTTCGATTTGCAGGCACTGCAGAAGAACATTGACGACTGGACCGAACAGGAGTACACCTCGCTGTCACATCGTCCAAGTACGCCCACAATTTTAGGTAGATCAAAACACATTCCAAAGGAGTATTTACCCTCCACAACGACCACCATTGCGGCGACCAAGTCGCCCGTCAAGCCGCAGAGGCAGTCCAAAACTACGAAGGGTTTCTTGGACACCTCAGAACTGTCGGCGTCCGTCAATAGCTTGGAACCTTTGTACGAGAGAAAGCATTTCCAGTTCACTGCGATAAGCGACAATCACCTGCAGGAAACGTACGACAGTCGAGAGGTCTCCAAATACCAGACCACTACAACTGCTCCCACAACAACACCAATGGTAACCACCACCAGCACTACTTCAACCTCTACAACTACTACAACGCTGAGGCCATTCTATCAGCAAGGCGTTGAAGAGATCGAACCAGAAGAACTGTGGCGCAAGGCTAAAGTTTCGATATCGCCAAAAACCAAGGAGAAGGTCTATGTGGTAACGCCACAGCCAATATTCTTCCCCCAGCGACAAATTTCCTCAACATCGACGACAACCACGGAAAGGCCATTCAGTGGATTTGGAAGTGGGTTCAAGTCTCCACGATTTTTAGTGAGACCCACACCGGGCAATGGTAAGTAACGCCTCACCGTTTACGACAATTTTCCGTTATCTCCCAGCAAACCCAACCCTTTGCCTAACCCCCTTTCCATTCTTCCGTGTTTTCGTTTTCCCTTTCAGTTACTGCCAGTAATCTTTTGAAAATTCTAGGTACCGAATCGAACAACAACAACAGTAACAGCAACAAGGGCAAATATCGTTTTGATCTGTCTCAGGAAGTTTTCAGCAATTCATTCTTCTTGCCCGATCACGTGGGCCTAAGAGGACTCTCGGCATATGTGCCCTCGGAGCCGGTGGAAATAATAGACGGCAATTCCAAAGTAAAGCATTTTAAAGCGAACTGAAATATTTGTCAACTTCTTTCATGGAAATGACTAATTAATGAACTCCATTCAACACATCACTCACACCAACACATAACATTCTAAACACCCACACGCACACACCCATTACTCAATTTCATTACAGGTTTTGAAGACCATCAAATCGCCAAAACATCTGGAGAGCAGTAGCTCAACATCCCACAACATAATGGATCTTACCAAAGAGAGACAAACGGCGCCCAAGAAGAAGACCATGGAACCTTCGCCGAGATAAACTCGCCGCCTCCCCCCCACTGCTGCATTTTCAAAATTTCCTGCCCGCCCGCTCCATCCTCCGTCCAATGTATTATAATCCTACGTCCCTTATGTGTTTAGGAAATTGTATTGCTTTTGTATCTAGCAGATATACGAACATTTTTAGTTCCATTCTCCACTCCCCTGTTCACCTCTACGTCGACTTTCCGATCACTTCGCATTATTTTTGTTTAGCTTTAATTTTGTTTGCTCATCACTTGGGTATCGCTCAAGATCGACGAACTAGGATACGTTGTGCCCCCGCTGCTGTCCCCTCGATGCACCGAATACCTGCCAATGTATATGGAATAGTCATCACCACATCGACATAAATAATAATTATTTATGTGTCTATTATTTAATGAAATTTATTTGTATGCCTAATTATCTTCATATTATTTGTATTATTATTATTTTTTTTTACCTATGTGAAATTTGTAAATACATTTTTTTAAGTGATTATAAAAAAAAACCAAAATTACGAAAAATCCAAGCTTATGAAATGAAATGGAATGCTATGTGGAGGCAGAAGGTGAGGTGAGTACACTGTCAGGTTTATGGACAGCTTGTAAATCTGGGATGAGCAAAATCGAAAAAGAGTTTATTTAGAAGGAAACCAATAATTCGAAGATTTGTTGTAATTTTTTTATCAACCAACTTTAAAGTTGGTCATGCCCGATATACACAATGTCTTTTGCCAAAAAGTTAATCAATGCATATGCAATGTTTTATATTTTACCATTTTTTTTTTTTTTGTTTTAGAAAGCAGAACGCCTCTTGAGAATTAAAAATGATAATACTTTGCTAATTCACAAGAAACCAAAAAAAAAAAAAACAAAGATTAGTTTAATTGAGATTTGCGAATGGTAGGCGCCAATCATTTTTGCCAACCTTTCAATGAATTGGAAAATGTTGATAGATTACGAAATTATGATCGATTCCACGTGTACACACACCGACAAGTTGTGCTTTTTAACGATACATCCATGGTACTATGGGGCAGGTTTTTTGAGGGAAAAAATCACAGGCACAAAGTTCGTTTTTAGGTGCTGAGAAGCTATAAAGTATGTTACAAGTATTTTGGCAATAGGTTCTTTACATTCTACACTTTCCCCGGAAATGTTATATCTTTTCGAAATGGTAAATTACATTTCCTCTCATGGGATTTTGAAGTGCGATTTCTCCAAACAATGTCAGCATCTGACTGATTCGAATACATACTGGGTGAGATGAAAAAACTGCAACTGCAAACTACAAATTCAGACTGCTGTCATTTCTAAGCCACTCGTCCGACAGCTATCTTAGAGCACCCCAGCATTTAAATGTGAATAAATCTTTTGTGTCTCGTACCATCGCTCGTTACCGTGATACTGGTAGCGTAGCCCGAAGTCTAGGAAGTGGACGGAAGAAGAAGCGACTTGATCGAAACCCGCGACGCAGTGCCCGAAAAATGGCTCGTGAGCTGAACATATTGCAATATTCCATTCGCCAAATATTGAAAAATGAGCTCGGGTTAAAGCCATTGCAAGTACAAAAAGTGCAAGAACTTGCACCGCAACATAAAGACAATAGACTTAAAAGAGATTTGCTTCGATTGGCCGAAAGTGTTGAACTGCCGAATTTGCTTTTCTCCGATGAGAAAACATTCGTTGTCCTGCAGTTTGTAAACAAACAAAATGATCGTGTTTACTTGCCAAAGAGGTCAGCAGAAAATGTGCACCTTCGGTTGGCCGGCCATGGTGATGGTGTGGGCCGCCATAACAGCCGATGGTCGCTCTCCGCTCGTATTAATCGACCGTGGCATCAGAATAAATGCCGAATATTATCGCGAAAATATTCAAGAGCGTGTAAAAGCCTTGGGCACGCAAACATTTTGGCCGCAGACCTTGGACATTCCAACAGAACTCAGCACCATCGCACTCATCACGCGCCAACCAAAAATGGTTACAAAATGAGGTGCCTCGCTTCATTTCCAGCACACAATGGACACCAAAATCTCCGGATACCAATCCGTTGGACTAATGTGTCTGGAGTATTTCGGAAAGCAGGGTTGGCACTAAAAAATACCAAAGTGTCGATCACCTCAAGCAAACGCTTCGCCGGGAATGGGCCAAAATACCGCAGAGGAACATTCGGCCATAATTCGTGCGAAAGGTAATCAATTCGAACAAATCTAAACTTCTAAACTTATTCTAAAATTTGGTGATATCTCAGAGATCTATTGCTTTCATTCAATAAAATTTAAAAAAAATAAATATAACAATTATGGGGTTTGACTTTGTTGCAGTTTTTTGTATCTCAAAATGAACCTTTATTCCAAAAACGTAAAACATTTGATAAAACAATATTTTAATGCAACCAAAAATAGTTCTCCGTTTAGGGATATTTGAACATCAAGCAAACTAGAAGTTCCCCTTGAACACCGTTAAATGGCGCCCAATGGCAAAAACATTTAAATTTCAATAAAAAAAATGTTCAAGGTATTTCGCATTCTTAAATTTGTGCATTTTTCAATTATATCGAACATTTGATATCATAAGAAGTTTACCTTTGCATTCAACCCATTTTCCACAATCAATAGAAATTTAAAAAAAATAGAAAAAAGTAATTTTTGGCTGTTGTCTTCCTCAAGAATAACAACCTACCACAGTTCGATTCCAATGTTTCACACACAAACTTTCAATTGAAAACCATAAATGATCCGCCGTTTCATGATTAATACAGAAATCATGCGTTCTAGATTATTGTTATTGCCACCGCAGATGACGAAATAACGACATACTCGTTCGAAAATGTCAATCGGTTATTATCAAAAAGTACTCACTTTACGACTCAATCAATCTTAATGATATTCTTTCGCACTAACCTCGACATTGGAACAACAACAACACCAACAACAGCATAATGGCAACCCAGGTGGAGAATAATCAGCCAGAAGGAGGTAACTTATAACAACTTAATGAACTCGGCCAAGAACAAAACAGCACGACAAGAATGGCGATAATTAAACAGAACAAACACACACACACAGCCACAGACGATCAAGGCATGAAGAAAATTAGACATTAGAACAGTGCCATTCATATTCTAATCTGTCAAAATGAAAAACAATTTCGAAATCGCAGTGATTAAAACTTTTTTGAAATGCTTGTCATGCAGAAAATTGGCTGATTCGGTGCGATTTGGCAAGTATTCAGATAGGGACATATTTTTCTGGCGAAAAACGCTCAAAAGAGTGATAACTGTTTTTTAATTGTTTATTAAAGAGCTCATTTTGGAAATAACAGACAAACACATACACACACTCATAGACATACAAATGCTGATAATAGATTTATTAAAAGTAGTAATCATGATTTATTTCGTTTTCGGCTAAATTTTTATTTTCTTCGGAAATTTTAAATTCAAAAAGAAGCAGTTTCGTTGAGGATTTTCGGTTTAAATTATCTAAAAGGCAAATCTAGACATGATGCGACGACCGACACAGGTCAGAGCACCTTCAACGCCGCATTTGCCCGTCAAGATGTGATACACTTGACCGGATGGGCACTGCATCACCTGGGCAAGGAACTCCTCTGTGCGCGAGTTCCACTCGCACTTAAAGTACTTGGAGCAGTCGGAGTGATAAGCAAAAGTTCCCTCAACAACGCATTCAAATTCCTCGGCCTGGGTGTGTTTCGCGACCTTGGTGTCGTCGCAGCTGAATTCAGAAGTACAATAACCGCCAGGTGGGAAGAAGTTTTGACCTTCGGGGCATTGGCGCTGGAAGGGTGTCATAATACCGTTTATTTCGGCGCACACATTGAATTTGTCACAGCTGCCGTCCTGGGGGAAGATGCCTGTGGTGGGACAATTGAAGGCATGACCAGCTGTTGTGGTTTCGACTTCTGGCCCCTGAGTGGTGGTCTCATCTTCGGGTGTAGTTGTGTTCTCCTCAGGGTGCTCGGTGGTAGGTTCAGTTACAGGTTCTTCAGTGGTGGTTGCGTCTCCATCATCCTCGGTAGTTTCAGTGCCAGCTTCGGTGGTTGTGTCGATTTCAGGTTCTTCCGTCGTTGTATCGGCTTCAGTGGTTTCATTGTCCTCTGGTGTGGTTGAATTTTCCTCTGGCTTTTCGGTGGTGGTCGATGGTTCCGTAGTAGGTTTAGCCTCTGTGGTTGTAGTGTTATCCTCTGGTTCATCGGTTGTTGTGTTTACATCCTCGGTAGTTTCATGGCTCTCGGTAGTCGTTGGTGTTGCCTGTGTTGTAGTAGGTCCTTGGGTAGTTGACTCTTCTGGTTCAACTGTAGTATCTTCAGGTTCCTTCTCCGTGGTTGAAGCAGTAGTATCTTGGGGAATTTTGGGGGTGGTTGGACTTTCAACCGGTACACTCTCAGTAGTTACTGGTGGTTCCTCCGTAGTGGTAGTAGTGGTATCTTCAGGGACTTTAGGTGTAGTTGGTTGTTCCTCGGGTTTGGTGGTGGTGTCCTCAGGAGCTTTAGGTGTGGTTGGTTGTTCCTCGGGTTTGGTGGTGGTGTCTTCAGGAGCCTTAGGTGTGGTTGGTTGTTCCTCTGGTTTAGAGGTGGTATCTTCGGGAGCTTTAGGTGTTGTGGGTTGTTCCTCAGGTTTGGTGGTAGTATCTTCTGGAGCTTTAGGTGTGGTGGGTTGTTCCTCGGGTTTAGAGGTAGTTTCTTCGGGAGCTTTAGGTGTGGTGGGTTGTTCCTCGGGTTTGGAAGTCGTGTCTTCGGGAGCTTTTGGTGTGGTTGGCTGTTCTTCAGGTTTGGAGGTGGTGTCTTCGGGAGCTTTAGGTGTGGTGGGTTGTTCCTCGGGTTTAGAGGTGGTTTCTTCGGGAGCTTTGGGTGTGGTTGGTTGCTCCTCGGGTTTGGAGGTGGTGTCCTCAGGAGCTTTAGGTGTGGTTGGTTGCTCCTCGGGTACTGATGGAATTGTTGGACTTTCCACATCCTCCTCATTGGCCACAGCGTCTATGGTTTGGAACATACAAAATCCTTTCTTTCCATTGAAAATCTGACCCTCCTTGCAGCTCAAATATTTCAGTGTAAGACCTCCATGTCTATTGGCGTAACAGCCGTAGTAGTTGCGAGAGTTATCCGAAATTGGGAAGAATCCTGGGCGGGAACAGGGCTGCTGTACAGCAACTGTGCCAGCAGAGCCCACTGCAGCACCAAAGATCAGTGCAATCAGTACGCAGAAGTACTTCATTTTGAGAGCTATGCGAGACGTATAAGCGATTTGAATGTGCGCGTTTGAAAAAACAACCGTTATTACCAAACGAATTGAACAGAGTGATCGACAAAACAGTAGCTATCTGTTGTTTTATATCACATACATATATTGAAGTGGCTTCATAGTTTTCAATCGTATTCATAATTTACTTCGGCCCCTCCCCGCTCCAGTTGTTAGAGCGACATCGGCAGTATTACCAAAATGTCGCAATTAACTGATAATTTCCACTCCGCTGAAGAACAATTCTTGGCAAACACGAAATCGTTAACTTTCTTATCTGGGTTTTCGTTATCCGTCCGACGGCAGTGGTGGTGCTGGAATATTTTCAGATGGTTTTTGTGTGTGTGTATGTGTGTGATTAGGCTCGTAGTCTCCCACATTGATCTATCGCGATTGTCCTCAATTAACACAATAATTAAAGTTCTGGGAATTTGATTTTGGGAATGAAGTTGTCAATCGAAATAAAAAAATGAAGGAAAGACAGAAGGAAGGTTGCAAAGAAATTCAAAGAAATATGCGCAAATCAATGTCAAAGCGGTTGTAAACAATCTGCTGGCATTCCGAGATAATTCCCGTCAAGGTTTATATCGATACAAAGAAATATCCTGAATAATGTAATGTCTGATTTTAGGAAAAGCAGGATGCTAAGGGATTTATAATGCTGCGCTTAGCCACAGCACGTTTTAATTCTTCTAAGCACTGTTAGGTGCTCGGTTAGAATAATGAGAATACTCTTTTGTTGGTTGCAAGAAAGATTCTGATTTTATTCAACAATTCTTACAGCTATTTATACTAAAATTTTATTCATAATTATGCTTACAATATATGTACATAGATATTATTTGTTATTATGAAATGTGTGATCGCAAAACTTCAAATCAGCAAATTCAATTTTGTGTAACCTGATTCCTTCCAAATTCTTGACGATACAATATGTATGTCAGTGCAATTGGTTGTTTACGTTTTTGAGTTTAGCTTGCACATTTTATTTTGGAGGAATCAAATTGTTATTTTAAATAGTTGGAATAATGTGACCAACTATGGATGAGTGTGACCAACACACTACACCTCCGTCCTCAAGATTGAATTCATGATTGAAATGAAGTGAATTAAATCTAAAAATATGTTTTAAAATTCCATATAATGTATGTAATATTACATTTAGCAATATGTGTATTTAAATTTGAAATAGTTAATATAAATAATTTTTGATTGCTCTAAAAACTATTATAAATTGTCTTTTAATTGCTTACGTTTATACAATTTAAGGATATTATTATGGTAAATTTTTTCTAAGTTATCAACCTTTAGTAATGAATTCATTCCCAACCTTTTTATTATTTTATATGGTCCCTTGTATGGGCTCTGATTCTTTTTTCGAGATTCCAATTTTATTAATACCAAATCTCCTGTATTGAAATTACTAATGTTTGTATTTTTGTCATACATTTCTTTTGATTTTTGTTTTGCTATATCTATTAATTTTTTAGCATTTTCCAATGATCTGTTTAATCTTATTTTTATTTCATTTGCGTAATTTTCTATGTCATAGCATTTACTTGTGTTTTGTATTTTGTCTGTTGGTAATGCTGCTAGTCTACCGTAAATCAATTCGTAAGGTGAATAGTTAGTGTCAATATGTGGTGTCGTGTTATAAGCAAATGTATAGTATGGTATCCATTTTTCCCATTCATGATCATCAACAAAATTTAACAAATATTCATTTAATACACGATGGTTTCGCTCTATAGAACCTATTGACTGATGGTGATAAGGTGCTGAAAATTTTTGGTTAATATTTAATAGGTTACAAATTTCTTTCAACAATTCGTTATTAAATTCAGTACCTCTATCAGATTTTAGATTTTTAAAACATCCATACCTTAGAATAAACTGTTCAACCAATGCTTTAGCAATATTTTTAGCATCTTTTGTTTCAATTGGGTGTGCTATTACATATTTCGTTAATTCACACTGCATGGTTAATATATACCTGTAACCGTTAGATATTCTTAAAGGTCCAACAGTATCTATTTCTATTGTCTCGAAACCCGTGTTAGGACTTTCTGTTATGATCATTTCTTCTTTAATATGCTTTGTTTGTTTATTTCTTAAACATTTATCGCACTTGTTAATATAATCTCTAACCATCTTTCTCATATTTTTCCATACGTAACGTTGTTTTAATTTTAGGACTGTTTTTCTTATACCAAAATGTCCTGATATTGGCGAATTGTGGAATTCTTCTATAATTTTCATTTGCGTTCTTTTGTTCGTAATGTGTTGCAAAGGTTTATATAATATAATATTTAATTCAAAGTTTCTATATTTGTTCGATTTCAATAATTTCTGGTATACCTCATTATAAATTTTATTCAAATATCTATCTGATATGAGCTCAAAAATATTATCTTCGCATGATAAAGCGAGATTTTTTATATTTTGCTTATGCATATAAATCATTAACTTCTCTAGTGACAAAACGTATTTTGCTAGATCTTCATTAACATTCATTACAAAGCTATTATCTTTATTTTCTATGGTACCATCCTTGGGTCCATTCTTCATATTTTCTATACCGGTTTTTATAATATTAAATTTTAATTCATGAATATTCTTTATATCTTGTAAAGATGTACATTCCCACATATGATTCTTATGTTGGCCAAGGGATATGTCATTCTTATTATTTATTTCCACATTTTCATTATTTTCCTTTGCTTTCATTCCACGTGTTGTTACTAAAATTTTTGATGGTTTGCTTCTGTCTTCTTCTACAGGTATCATATTCCTTAACATCTCAGAATCTAATTTTATTCTTGACAAAGCGTCTGCGTTTGTATTTATTTTTCCTTTTTTATAAACAATTTTAAAATCATAATCCGACAAATCTATTCGTATTCGAGTCAATTTAGATGAAGGGTTTTTATGTGAAAAAAGTGAAACAAGTGGTCTGTGATCCGTTACGACAATAAACTTTCTACCATACAAATATGGTCTGAAGAATTGTATACCCCAGTGGATCGCGAGTAGTTCTTTCTCAATCACTGGTTTATTTAAATCATGCTTTCCTAAGGTTTTGCTTGCATAAGAAATTGGCAAATCTTCTCCTATTTTCCCCTGTGATAAGACAGCTCCTAATGCATAATTCGATGCATCAGTAGTCAATATAAAGGGTTGTTCGAAATCTGGATACCTTAATATCGGTGCACTGATCAATTTTGTCTTCAATAAGTCAAAAGCCTGTTGACAATTATCTGTCCATTCAAATTCCTTACCCTTTTTGGTTTGGTCATTTAAACATTTTGTAATTTCAGCGAAATTTTTTATGAAACGTCTATAATAATTACAGAATGCTACGAATCTCTTAACATCTTCTTTGTCTTTTGGAATCGGGTATTGTTCTATTACTTTATGTTTTGAAGGATCTGTTCGTATACCGTCTTTCGTTATTTGATGTCCTAAATAAATCACTTCGGATTTCAAAAATACACATTTTGATGCATTTAATTTTAAGTTATATTTTGACAAACGTTCGAATACTCTCACCAAGTTTTCGTTATGATGTTTTAAACTACATCCAAATACAATAATATCGTCAACGTATAAAAATGCTTTGGAGTCTAAGCCACTTAATGCTATTGTTAACATCCTTTGAAAACTATTGGAAGAAATCTTCAAACCAAATGGTAAACGTTTAAATTGATAATGACCATTCCTAGTTGAAAATGCCGTTAGATGTCTAGAATCCTCGTCTAGATTTATTTGATGAAATGAGCTGGTCATATCTAGAGTTGAAAAATATTTTGCTCTTCCTAAACGGTCTAATACATCCTCTAGTCTTGTTAATGGGAATTTATCATTTACTATCTTTTTGTTGAGTTGTCGGAAGTCTACGACTAGTCTCCACTTTTCTTTTCCACTCTCGCTTTTTTTTGGCACTACCAATAATGGTGAATTATATGCACTAGTTGATGGTTCAATGATGTCTTCATCCAATAATTGTTGTACTTGATCATTAATTTCATCATGTTGTGTATGTGGTAATCTATAATTCTTTATATAAACTGGTGTATTGTCTGAGATTTTTAAATTTTGTGTATAAAAATTATTAGAAGTTAATGTTTCTCCTTTCAAGTGAAAAATGTCTTCATAGTCCTTGAAAATCTGTATCAATTCTGTTCTTGCTTTTTCATCCTTAACGTCCATTTTTATAGTATCTATTAGTTTGCTGAACCTGTCTTTGCTGAAATTTGTTTCTCTTGGTCTATGTGTACTTTGTACTATTGTGTAGTTTCGTAGAGGTTCTATCTCAAAATCAATGTTTTCTAAAATTATGTCGTTATCTGTTGTATTCAGTATTTTGACATGGTGATTTCCTTTTCCTGGTACTATTGTATTACTTACAAATATACCTGGTTTGATTTCCTTATTAAGAATAATGTTGTCCTCACATATATCCAAATTTATAGGATGAATACTTTCAGATCGTCTTTCTACCTTCATGCAATAATTTTTATTTATCCATGATTTCATAGGTACAGTAATCTCTTCATTCCCCAAAGTGAGTGTTATCGTAAAAGTTTCATAGTCAATTTTGCATAAGAATCTTGAAAAGAAATCCCTTCCTAAAATTCCGTCCGTTGGTATTGGAAATTCTTCGTCAACGATGTGAAATTTATATTGTTCGGTGAAATAATTTATGGTGAAATTTAATTCTGATGTTCCTATAGATTTAATTTTTTCTGTAGTGATACCTGTAAAGCTAATTGATCTTTCTTTGTCGATATGTATGGAATCTTCATTTAATTTATTGATTTTACACAAAGAGATATCTGCTCCAGTGTCTATTAAAAATGTAAGTTTTAAATTTTTGCCTAAGTTTAATTCAATGAAATTTGTAATGTTATTTGATATTTGGAAAACATTATTTAATCGTATTATTGGTCCTCCGGATAGTGGGTTTGTATAGTTCCTAGTCCGACGTCCGGGTCCTCGTAGTTTTCCTGTACGTAGTGCACGTTTCTATTCTGAAAATTTCTATTCCGATTATTTCCGTTATTGTGATTTCGACTATTATTATTACTATTATTATATCTAACACCATTTTGGTTATTATAATTATTACCAGAATGATGGTTGCTATAGTTTGTTGGTCTATTATTTCTAGTATTAGTATTATTACCACTATTGTTAAATTTGTTTTTATTATTTGACCCATTATTATTGTAATTTGTCCTATTAGTGCTGCAATTATTTCTGTAACTGTTAGGACCAAAATTATTTCTTTTATTATTATTAAAAAAATTGTTATATCTATTGTTCAAATTTCTTTGGTTATTTCCCCGGTTTCCATTATTCGAGAAATACAAAACTTGTTCCGTATTAGTGACGAATTCTTTTTCCAGCTCTAAGGCCAATTGTAATGCCTCATTTAGGTTTTCAGGTCTCGATGCAAATACTGTAGGTTTAAGTTCTCCTTTTAAACCGTTCTTAAATACGTTCAGGGAGTAATCATCGTTGATTTGTTTTACCGTTGCAGCCTGGATTTCACTGCAATTTTTTATATTTTTAATCTGCAATTCATTCAATTCAGTTACCAGTTCTAATAATTTCTCATGATAAGTGTTCACAGTCATTGTCTTCTGGGTAAATGTGCTTAACAGTGTTTGGATTTGAGAAACAGTCCTTTTCGACCTATATCTATTTATTAAAGATTCTTTCAGTTCTTGGAACGTTTTTGGTTCAGACACTCCTATTGCAGTGCGTACTAGGTTTGATAGTTTAGCATTATAGACAAAGGATATAAGTATTGCTTTATTTGCATTATCTAAAGTTTTTTCTATTAGTTCTACTATTGTTAGGAATGATTGTAAGTCTTTATAATTTCCTTTGAATTCAGGAATAATTTTTATAGCGGTCTCTAAATTGAAAGTTGCCATACTTACTAAATTTTGTTGTTGATCATTGGGTGTTAAAAGGGCTTGTTCGAAAAGAATTTTCGCTCTATTGTAATATTTCTCAAATAGTTCTGTTTTTATTTCTGTGTCTTCTGTTTTTAACGTTTTATTTATAGCGTCATAAAATTCTGTCTTTAATAAATCTATTTCTTCTAACTTACTTATCAGTGTTGTTTCCTGATATCCCCTTGATCCTGATTTCTTGAAATTTATTAGGATTTTTTCTAACCTATTTATTGCTGATTCCATAGAATATTAATTTATAGGTACTTGATAAAAGGGATTTTATTTATTTTTTTTGTTTATTATCTATATTTATACTTGTACAACAGCTTTTTTCTGTACATAGCTCTTAAAATATTTATTTAACTTAAAAACTAAAAATATTATTACACCTAGACATAATATGCAAAAGGCATCTATTTTTATGGTTGTTCCGAAGTCCATACTTCGTTCTGGGCTATTGTTGTTGATATTAATGACCTCCTCTGTTTTCGATTTTTGATTTCCCATTTAGCGATTTTAGCTCAAGGTATAGTTTTCTCTTCTGTTCACCTACTGTTAATCCTATTAATCTTATTATTTCCTGTCTCTTCTTTTTTAGTTGTTTCTTTTTTCCACCCCTTTTTGATTTTTTCCTTGTTTCTACTTTTGGTACCTCTGTCCTTTTTTGTGTTCTCCTTTTGTATTCTTTTATACTGATTGGCTTGGGGCCGCAGTTGACTGGTGCAGGAGTGTACCTAGGATAGTCTTCTTTGGCTTGTCCTTGTGGGATGTACTCCTCACTGTAATATTTCGCAAAAATTGCGTCTATCTGTTCCTTTGAAGGACTTCCTTCCATGAATGTGACTCGGAAAGTCAGTTCAAGAAAAAGTCAGGTTTTTTAGTTTTCAAAGTCTACCGAATGTTTGGCAGGATCGCCATGTAATGTCTGATTTTAGGAAAAGCAGGATGCTAAGGGATTTATAATGCTGCGCTTAGCCACAGCACGTTTTAATTCTTCTAAGCACTGTTAGGTGCTCGGTTAGAATAATGAGAATACTCTTTTGTTGGTTGCAAGAAAGATTCTGATTTTATTCAACAATTCTTACAGCTATTTATACTAAAATTTTATTCATAATTATGCTTACAATATATGTACATAGATATTATTTGTTATTATGAAATGTGTGATCGCAAAACTTCAAATCAGCAAATTCAATTTTGTGTAACCTGATTCCTTCCAAATTCTTGACGATACAATATGTATGTCAGTGCAATTGGTTGTTTACGTTTTTGAGTTTAGCTTGCACATTTTATTTTGGAGGAATCAAATTGTTATTTTAAATAGTTGGAATAATGTGACCAACTATGGATGAGTGTGACCAACACACTACAATAAAATGAATAATGGCGTTACGCCAAAGCAATATTACCACTGGTTTATTCTATTTTCAAACAACTTTTATTGGTAACAAGTTATTTCGCAAAAAAGAAGCTGTTTACCAGACTTCAAAGATTTTCAGGGAAGAACGACAGTTCCAAAGAAAGGAATTTCTTCGAAGAACTGTAATCGAGAAATGAAACCAAGTGATATAAATATGTCTGTAGAGCCGTGTAAGATAACACTGAGAAAATACTTTCCAAGAGGCGGAAACAGCTCGAATTATTCTGGTTTATTGAGTCAATCTAGCCCTTTGCGCCGATCTGTCTGGTTGCCTCACATTTTAGTGTTAGTACAGTTATTGAATTGGAAACTAAAAACCGATTGAACAATTTCTGCCTGGCAGAGATTCCCTCTAAAATGATAACAACTTCAGTTAATTAGACAGATTTACAATAAAACGACATACGACAAGCAGTCAGTCGATATTTTCCATTTTGTCAACTAACCTAAGTGATGTGTGAAGTTTGGACTATATCCGCTACTCGATTCCTTTGACTGGTATATCCCATTTTTGCACAATTTCACAATTTAATGTGTTATTATACACCTCCTTAAATGTGTTGGCCTTTTATGGGGGGAGGAGGAAAATTAGTGGTCAGCTATATCCCACTTTTAAACTAGACCTTGTGTTGATAGAAATATTGGGATATGTCAATTTTGAAACGAAGTATTATTCCGCATTTTATGAGTGTAATGGATATTCAAAAGTTGAAGCGAGGTTCCAGAAGGAGTCGTCCACTCTATCCTATGTTCATACAAGATTGAGGGTCGATAGAATGCTGCCATGTGTGGGAATTGAAAACAGTCGAACATTTTATGTTATGATTATTCGAAATGTTGGTCAGGTAGAGCCAAGTATTAATACAAATTGTTGTATTGTAAAGTTTGAACCAAATCGGATTATCTTTTTTCTCTCTTTCTATTAGGGAGATTATTTTCAATAAATAATGTTGATCGATCGATAATGTATCGATCTACGTTTGATAATAATACGAAAACGTACTAAGTTTGGAAGAAATCCAGTACTCCATCGAGTGTTATCATGCGCACAGACAGCCGGAAGGAAAACTGACGAACATGGTAAGATCCAACAGGCCTAGTCTAAAAATGGGTTTGTTTAAAATGTGCAAGGGTAAGCTATAAAAATGGATGTGACGAAGTTTTCCATTTTCTCTCCTGACCTAAATTACAGGGTGAGATAAAAACTGCAACCGCCATAATTTTTGTTTTTTTTTTTTTTTTAAATTTTATTGAATGAAAGCAAAAATGTCGGAAATAGCATAAAAATTTAGAATAAATTTAGATTTGTTCGAATTGGTCACCTTTGGCAAGAATTATGGCCTTCAAACGACCAATGAAACCGTCACGCGCTACCCTAATGTTGCTCTGCGGCATTTTGGCCCATTTCCGACGAAGCGCTTGCTTGAGGTGATCGACACTTTGGTATTTTTTAGTGCCAACCTTGCTTTCCAAAATACTCCAGACACAATAGTCCAACGGATTGGTATCCGGAGATTTTGATGATCATTGTGCGCTGGAAATGAAGCGAGGAACGTCATTTTGTAACCAATCTTGGGTGTCGCGTGCTGAGTGCGATGGTGCTCCTGTTGGAATGTCCAAGGTCTGCGGCCAAAATGTTTGTGTGTCCAAGGCTTTAATACACCCTCCAGAATATTTTCGCGATAATATTCTGCATTTATTTTGATGCCACGGTCGATTAATACGAGCGGAGAACGACCATCGGCTGTTATGGCAGCACACACCATCACCATGGACGGCGTTCTGGTGGCCAACCAAAGTACACACTTTCAGCTGACCTCTTTGGCAAGTAAACACGTTGGTTTGTTTACAAACTGCTGGACAACGAATGCCACTGGAATAATTTTAACAGCTGTCGGACGAATGGCTTAGAAATGACAGCAGTCTGAAGTTGGTTGCAGTTTTTTCATCTCACCCTGAATTTGCAAATATTTAAAGACCCCCTTCGATTTCTACGAGATATAAAATATTTGTTGATAATTGTGTCGATAAATCGATTGCTCCCGTGCTCAGTGCGATAAACAGACAGACATGTTTTTGGTATGAAATAATTTGTACCCTTCTCTGTAGCTATGTGGCTGAGGTTGCAATAACTTAAATCCGCCGGTGCGATAAACTACCGCTAGAGCCATAAATATATTCGTCAGTAAATAATTTATGCAATGATTTTTCCTAACTTACAAACGATGCCCTTGGAAATATACCCAAGGACTGAAAGATGGGCATCACTAAATAGATTCAGATTTTTGCGCAGATTTGAATGATATATAATTTAATTATGGTTGACGACAATTTGGCACTTTAGCTATTGAACATTTCTTTTTTGGATTGTAATTGTTGAGTAAATTATTGTGCGATTTTCTACAACACAACTTTTTCAATTTCTATATCAAATAGAGAGTGATTTTGCTTTTATTATTTTTGGTAATATTTTGCATTTAGAAACTAAGGACTTACTAAGTGAATTTTTGCTATGTAAAAACAATGCAACGAAATGAATCTACTTCAATTATTTTTTATTTCTTTTTCATATATTATTTAAGACATTACCTATACCTATTTGAACACACCGATTTAACAAATTTTGATAGCCAAATTGAACACGATTTATTTCATTCCTCAATCATCATCTTCGTCATCGACACTGACGCTGACGTCGCTCAAGGCTTGGTTTAACAAAGTCTGGTCAATCGCACAGAAACCAATGTCGGCATTGAATTTGGAACCAACTGGACACTGGACCACACTAATCTTGGACTTGCCCTTCTTGCTGACACACACAAAGTAGGCGGTCTCGCTAACTGTCGATGGATAAGTGCCATCCTGGGGACACACAAAAGTGGCACTCTCCTGTTTCAGCAATTCCTTTTTCAGCTTCTCTTCCTGTTTTGCCCTTAGCTCTGCTTCTTTTTGCAATTCCTTTTGGCGTTTCTTCTCAGCCTTTAATAGCTCCTTTTCCAATTTCAATGTGAGCTTATCTTGTTCCTTGATTAGTTTCAGTTCGGCCTTGACAATGTCAATGTCCTCGAATGGATTCCAATAGTAGGGAGGGAAACCAGGATATGCGGGTGCGGCAGGCAAGTTCTCCAAATCCAAGAAACATTTTCCCAAAAGGGGATAGAAGACTTGATTGGCCGAACATTGGACGTGGAAAACATGAAAACCGCCGCCAATCAAACGAGGTTCGCACAAATAGTACGAGGTGTTACTGACAGGATCTGCAACACCACCCTTGACCTGGCAGACTACATCATTTGGACATGAAGATATGTCGCGACTGCAACGTCCCAACTTGACGCTGTACGCTTCATTGGAAGCACAAAACTTGGTTAGCAAGTGGAATCCGCCATCTGCCGACCCAGTTGCAGTGCAGTCATGATAGACCCGGCAGTCGGATGGATCTGCCTCAGCGCCAGGTGTATTGCAGGGAGGTGGTGGCGGAGCAGTAGTACTGGTTACCTCCTCAGCATTGGAAGGGGTTGTTGTTTCGGTTTCTTCCTTTGGGACATTTGTTGAGGGGTCATTTTCCGCAGTTGATTCAGTTGTTGCAGCTGGCAGATCTGCACTAGGATTCGTTGTCGTATTGTCACATTCACGTCCTTGGTCTCGGCAATCACAAACACATTCGGTAACACTCTCCGTGCTTGTTGCAGGTGTTGTTTCTACAGGGGTCTCAGTTGTAGGCACCTCTGCAGGCTGTTCATCTGTTACGGGCTCATTCAATGCAGGCTCAGTTGTTACCGCCGGTTCCACGTCAGATTCCCAGGGATCCAAGGTCGTTGTCACCACATTTCCATTTACAATCCCGAAATTCGCCACGATCTAGAACATTGCAATGAGTTATCTTTCAAAGTCGATATTTTTCTCCTTTAATTCCGTTTGTTTCCTTACCACCACGTAAATTCCGAGTAGAATTAAAGCCAACTTCTTTGCCTCCACCATGTCGTTGTAGTCGATTCTAGTGTCGTCGTATTACTTGGAGACTGGGCAGAGATACGTGGCATTTTATAGACCCAACAAAACAATACGATAATGTGTCACCCCGCCAGCCAGCATCGCTTATCGAATAATCATAGTCAAATACGGTTATTCGTGCAAATAGATGTGTCATCTTGATTCCTTTGGCAACTGAAGTCACAACAGCAATAATCTGGTCAGATAAGCAGGCGTTCCTGCCCCTTGGCAAAAAGAGGCATGTGAATGCAGGGAGGTCGGTTGGTGATACGATCATATTTCGTTCGCGGATGGAAAACAAAATAAAAATATTTATCTGGGACAGGGGCGAGCAGATCTGCTAATTATCTGCTGAGCGACATTTACAACTTTATTTTCTTCAATGTTCTTTGCTCGTCTTACTCGTCTCTTTTTTATTTTTGTAACAACATCCGTTTGAATGGAATTTGCCACTTTGGGACAGAGACGCAATGCTGCCAGATATAGGGCCTTATGAGCTACAAGTATTTGTAATGCTATCCATCGATCGATCACTATTCAGCCGGCATAAGTTGAAAATTAAAGACGCCCATATCACGAGGTATTTAATGTGTTATCACCACCCGATAAACGAACTTGAAAAAATAAACATTTTTTGGTACATTTTATCTCTTCCTGAGAAAAGCTGAAAAGTCAGTAGAAACACCGCCAAAAGATATTAGGACTAACATCAATATAATTTTTGTTTAACTTAGACTTATTCCATACATTTTTTTAATTCCGATTAAAACGTTTTAATACCCAGTATAGTATTTTTGGGCGAAATACAATGCCGGTCATTTGAAGCCCATTTAGGAATATTCAATATTAATTTAAATACATCTGTCAATTGACTTCAAAACAATGCATTACTCTTAGAAAATACAACTGGTAGTTGTTTCGTTGTTGCTTTTGGAAGTTGGATGAGCCGAATAATCCCTTACACGGTAATGACAATAAACTGCACTGCCAGAGAGCATTATTGTGTTACTTCTTAAGCAATTACAATAAGTAATGAGTAACGTCAGCACAGACTTTGGGCGCATGACTACAAAATCGAATGTTGTGAGTAGAGCAGTAAGTTCGGCCGGGTCGAACTTTGAATACCCTCCATCATTTGTAACGAATTTGGAAAATTTACAAAAAAAAAAAACATCCGCTAAAAATTCTGTTAAAATTTGAAAAATACCGAATATAGCCGTTATATTGGGATCCATACGAATTAAAATCACCAAAATATCGAATATAAGGAGGTACTGATATATAGGGCCTATACGAAGAACTGGACCTGCATAGACAATTTTCTGTCATAGACTGTAGTTCGCATTACGAACGCTAAATACGAAATTTGAAACAACACCGGTGAAAATTTTCGCAAAAATTATCATAATACCGAATATTGGGATGTACCGTTATATGGAGGCTATACGAAGGAGTGGAAATGTATAGGCTATAGTATCCATTACGAATTTTTAGGTATAAAATTTGGAACAACTCCAGTGAAAAATGTCCCTAAAATCGTCAAAATATTGTATATCGGGGGGTACAGTTTTATGTGGGCTATACGATCGTGGACATATATGGACATTTCTCTTCCAGGGAGTAAAGTGCTTGAAAAGAACTTTTGGTATGGATTTTAAGACAATTCCAAGGAAAAATATAACTAAAGTTATCAAAATACCGAATATAGGAGGTATCGTTATATAGGGGACATACGATATCGTGGACCTATATAGACAATAATCTTCCAGGGGGTAATGTATTCAGAGGGAAATCGTTTTGTGGATTTTCAGACAATTTTATTGAAAATTTTGGCTACAATTATCAATACACCGAATATCGGGTGTACCGTTGTATGGGGCCTATACGATATCGTGGATCGATCTTTGAACTTGACCTTCCTGCACACAAATGACTGATCTGATCGTCTTAGAATTTTACGCTGATCAAGAATATTTATACATTGTTACGTCTAAAATAATTATTTCGACGAGTTTCAAACGGAATGACGATATACCCTTTATATACCCTCCATGTTTAAATACAAATGGTAAGGTTGCAAGTTCAAAATTAGCAGGGAACAAAAGAAAAATGCCTTCTACCATAAAGTAGAGACAATTTTTAAAACTAAAAGTATCAGGATTCAGTATTCAAGTGGGTTTCATTTTTGCCACTAAAAACGGTTGAAAATTGTAGTGAGTCTTTAAAATACCACAAAATGGGCGGTACCCCTATATGAAGGCTGCACCAGAAGGAGGAACTTCATAAGAGATTTTCTGCGACTACATTTTTATCTCTTGGGGGATTCAATTACCAAATGTGGCTTAAATGTCAAATATTCAGAGATACCGCTATATGGGGATATAAGAACACGTGGATCTGTTGAGGCAACCCACGGCAACATAAGAAAACCCTACACAGGGAATTTTTTTAAGGATTTCGCCAAAAAAAATTGCTAAAATCATTCTATATAGACAAAGTTGTTACAAAGGATTTAGATTTGAAATCCATGGCGGAGCAACAGTACGGCCTCGAAACTGAAATGAATGAAACTCTTCTGTGAGAAGGTACCGTTACTATGCTACTTCGACTACTCCATGAACCAAAACCATTAAACCATTGTTCAAAAGATAGTGAGATTATAGGACAACGATAATTCGACTCAGAATTTAAAGCTGATCAAGATTGCAAATACTTCAGAGGTCGACTTAATATTTACTATTCTATGTTTCTACCAGCGAAGTTCTCCATATATATATATACGGAAATAAGTTTCGCTGATCAATTAATCAAATCAGTTATTAAATTCACGATGTCTCCGTCAGTCACTTACTTAAGTCCGTATGGCAAAGAGTCTCCTCTAGGAATGTTGGACAATTGCACCACAATTGTTCATTGGGAAACTTAAAAATATTTTAATAAAAACTAATTTATGTTACCATGCAAAAATATATTGATCAAAGTTCTCCATATGTTTTTTATGTTACAAAAGTAGGCTTTGTTTTTATATGTATTCGTAATGAAAAGAAAAATATTTTTTTGTTAGTCTATAAACTTTTCTGCTGTGGACAAGTTGTCAAATAATAAAAAATTGAAAAGCTGAATTCAAAATCCACACAAGAAGTTTTCTTAATCAAAGGGGAATATCCTATAGGTTATGGGCCCAGGCTACGCTGAAATTAATTACTAGAAAATGGATAAATTAAAAAGAAATATTAAACCCTTCGATGGAGAAAGATATTCTGTTTGGAAGTTTAGAGTTAGAGCGCTGTTGGAAGAAATGGACGCTTTGAAAGTTATAGATTGTGAATTCCCGAAAGAATTAACCCCAGAATGGATAAGAAGTGAAAGAACTGCAAAAAGTGTAATCATCGAATATCTAGGCGATTCTTTTCTTGGTTTTGCAAACACTGAAAGTACAGCAAAGCAAATTTTTAAAGATTTGGATGTAATATATGAACGGAAGAGTTTGGCATCCCAATTGGCGGTGCGAAAAAGACTGCTGTCTTTAAAGCTAAAAGGTGATACATTGTTAATGAATCATTTCATAATATTCGATGACCTGATTGCTGAGTTAATGGCTTCCGGAGCTAAAATTGAGGAAATGGACAAAGTATCCCACTTGTTGTTGACACTGCCATCAGCGTATGATGGCGTCATAACGGCGATTGAGACATTATCGGAGGATAACTTAACATTGGCATTTGTAAGAACTCGATTACTTGACCATGAGATAAAATTGATTAACGATAACCGAGACACCAGTGGAAAAGTTTTACAAGCCGTTAACAATCAAAGATACAATAACAAGGTCTTTTCACATAATTTCAAAAATAAAAGTAAATTCAAATCATACAAAACTTTTATATCAAGTGCGAAGTGCCATTTCTGTGGTAAAAAAGGACACATTAAAAAAGATTGTTACGGATTTAAAAAACAGTTAAATGAAAAAAATTTCGATAGTGGAAAAACAGTTCAAACTGCAACAACCCAAATTGAAAAAGGATTTGTATTCATGATAGGGCAGCACTTGAACACTGCCTCAAAAGGCAACATTTCTTTTCTATTGGACTCCGGTGCCTCCGATCATATGATAAATGACTCAAGCTTGTACACAGATTTTATTTGCCTGGAGTTTCCCATTAAAATTGGAATTGCCAAACAAGGAGAATTTATATACGCAACCAAGAAAGGAATAGTAAAGCTGTTCACTAAAGGTCAAGAGCAAATCACATTGGAAAATGTTTTATATTGCCAGGAAGTTCCTCAAAACTTACTATCCGTCAAGAGAATGCAAGATGCTGGTTTGACTATTGAATTTAATCCAGGGGGTGTTATAGTTACCAAAAACCGACAAGTTGTTATGGATGGTAAATATAAAAATAATATTCCAACTGTAGATTTTGAGCTATTTTCAAGCATTTACACATCAAGAACATTAAAAAATGAAAACTATCGATTGTGGCATGAAAGATTAGGGCATGTATCTAAAGGGAAATTTTTGGAAATAAAAAGCAAGGGCATGTTTAGTGACACAAATCTTTTGGAAAATGCAGAACCTGACTGTGATTTATGCGAAGCTTGTATAGATGGTAAGCAATGTAGGTTGTCATTTAGTAAAAAGAAAGACAAAGAACATATAAAAAGACCTTTATTTGTTATCCATTCGGATGTTTGTGGTCCGATTACGCCCTCTGCCATTGATGAAAAGAATTATTATGTTATTTTTGTTGACCAATATACACATTATTGTGTGACATACTTAATAGCTCATAAGTCAGATGTATTTTCAGTTTTCAAAGATTTTGTAGCTAAAAGCGAATCTCATTTTAATTTAAAGGTTGTTAATCTCTATGTAGATAATGGTAGAGAATATCTATCTTCTGAAATGAAAGATTATTGTGTTCAAAAAGGAATAAGCTATCATTTAACAGTTCCACATACACCTCAACTAAACGGTGTGTCCGAACGGATGATAAGGACAATAACAGAAAAAGCTCGTGCTATGGTGAGTGGAGCAAAATTGGATAAAGTTTTTTGGGGTGAAGCCGTTCTAACGGCAACTTACTTAATAAACAGACTTCCCAGTAAAGCGTTGGGTAAAGAAACAAAAACACCTTATGAAAAATGGCACAGTAAAAAACCGAGTTTAACGGTGTATGTGCATAACAAAATACGAAAACGAAAATTTGATGAAAAATCATCCAAGGGAATATTCGTTGGATATGAGTCAAATGGATATAAAGTCTGGGATGTGGAAAGTGGAAAGTTTTTGATAGCTAGAGATGTTATCATGGATGAAAGAAATATGGTAAATTCCAGGAATGTAATTAAAGAGAATGTTGAACCGGAAAATGTTCTAAAAATCCCGAATGACAGTACGGATAGAATTCCAATTGTCCCGAATGATACTACGGACAAAATTTTGACTATCCCGAATGAAAGTACGGAAGTGAATAAAAATGTCCTGAATGACAGTAAGGAAAAGAAAAAATATGAACAATCCATGGAACATATATCAAATAGGGTTGATCCAGACGAAACTGGTGTTCCTGTATTTGAAGAATCAAATGAACACAATAATCAGTTGTCCAATTCGGAAACTGAAACAGAGATCAGAAGAAGTGGAAGACTTAGGGACGAACCACAAATTTCATACAGAGAAGATGATTGTTTTTTTTCTTGGAATGTGTGTTAGGTATTCAAGCTCATTCTGATGTACCGACATTTTTTTAATGAAATTGAAAATAGAAACGATAGAAAACACTGGGAAAAAGCAATAAACGATGAGCTTAAATCACATTTTGAGAACGAGACATGGACTCTTGTATCAAAACCTATTGGTAAGAATGTAGTTGATTATAAATGGGTTTTTTCATTGAAACATGATGAAAAAGGAAATCCAGTAAGATACAAGGCTAGGCTTGTTGCTCGAGGTTTTACCCAAGAATACTTGGTTGACTACGATGAAACCTTCGCTCCTGTAGCTAGAATTTGCAGCTTTCGCATTCTGATGGCTTTTTCAAACCAATACAATTTAAAGGTACATCACATGGATGTAAAGACAGCCTTTTTAAATGGAATATTGAAGGAGGAAATCTATATGAAAATTCCACAGGGATTGAATTGTGGGGATGATAAAATTTGTAAACTAAATAAGTCAATTTATGGACTAAAACAGTCTGCAAGATGTTGGTTTGAAGTTCTTGAAAAAGTCCTGAAGGAAATAGGATTTGTTAATTCGTCAGTGGATCGCTGTTTATACATTCTTGATAAGGGTGATATATTTGAAAATTTGTATGTGTTATTGTATGTGGACGATTTGGTGATTGCTACAGCTAATGATAAAACAGTCGTTAATTTTAAAAGATATCTAATGAACAGGTTTAAAATGACAGATTTATTCGAAATCAAATATTTTATAGGTATAAGGATAGAGAGAGATGAAAATACAGTATACTTCAGTCAGACGGCATATATTGAGAATATTTTGAGGAAATTTAAAATGGATGACTGTAAGCCCGTCAGTACTCCACTGCCATGCAAACTGAATTATGAAGAACTAAACTCGGATGAAAAATATGACGCACCATGTCGTAATCTAATCGGCTCCTTGATGTACGTCATGTTATGTACGCGGCCTGATTTAAGTACGGCAATTAATATATTAAGTCGCTATAGTAACAAGAGCAATAAAGAGTTATGGTAATGTCTTAAACGGGTGTTAAGATACCTCAAGGGTACTCTTAATTTGAAATTGACTTACAAAAGAAACGACAGTCACAGTGACATATTTATTGGATATGTAGATTCTGATTGGGGTGGAAGTGAGATTGATCGGAAAAGTACAACAGGGTATTTGTTTAAAATGTTTGAAACATGTCTAATTTGTTGGAATACAAAGAAACAAAACTCTGTAGCAGCTTCATCAACAGAAGCTGAATATATGGCTTTGTTTGAAGCAGTAAGGGAAGCTCTGTGGTTAAAATCATTAGTGAGTAGTATTAAAATAGAGATGAATAGGCCTATTAGAGTTTACGAGGATAATCAAGGCTGCATAAGTATATCAAAAAATCCATCATGCCACAAACGATCAAAACATATTGATATTAAATATCATTTTTCCAGAGAACAAGTTGAAAATAAGCTAATAACTATTGAGTATATTCCAACAGATAAACAGATTGCTGACATATTAACGAAACCCTTGCCAGCTGCTAGATTTCTGGAATTGAGAAGTTATCTCGGCTTGGAAAGTAATATGTAATTGTCTTAATATTTTTGTTTGTTTGGGTCTGATTAGGTTTTTCTGGGTTTTCCTAATCTTTACAACGAATGTTGGGCCTTTTTTTATTTTCCCAGAAATAACAACTTGTCCATCGTGAATTATTACCATACCTATTATTTGGATATTTATTTAATTTGTAATGATCAATATATTTTTGAGGGGGTGTGTTGGACAATTGCACCACAATTGTTCATTGGGAAACTTAAAAATATTTTAATAAAAACTAATTTATGTTACCATCCAAAAATATATTGATCAAAGTTCTCCATATGTTTTTTATGTTACAAAAGTAGGCTTTGTTTTTATATGTATTCGTAATGAAAAGAAAAATATTTTTTTGTTAGTCTATAAACTTTTCTGCTGTGGACAAGTTGTCAAATAATAAAAAATTGAAAAGCTGAATTCAAAATCCACACAAGAAGTTTTCTTAATCAAAGGGGAATATCCTATAAGGAACAAATCTATTAAATTCAGTTTGAGTCCAATGACTCGACAAATTGAATTATTTCAGATACTATCAATCGTGCTTACTATGAAGAAAGAAAGTTATTAACATATTTATAAAAGTATACAAAGTCTTTTATGGTCTTCTCAGTCAAGTCACAAAACTCCAGAAGCCATTTAAATGTAAAATAGAATACTTTGGATTATCGTATATCCAAAGCAAAAGATTTGTGCATTAATTATTCGTAAGTCCAAAACTTAGTTAAATCCATTCGGCATCTTTGCGATAAACCAAATACTTAACAGCAATGAGACCCATAATAGGTGCACTTCCTTAATTTAAACGTGTAACGTTCATCTCATTTGAATAAATAAATTATGTAAACTTTTGAAAATATCTTGCGGTCAAGTTCTGGTGCTCTTTCACTTGCTAAATTATCTAACTTATCTGTTCCCAGTTTTTGCTCAAAACATCGAATTTTCACTCAGCGAGTGAAAAACACTCCGAAAATATCTGACAATGGCTAAATGCATTCGGTGAAGTAATCTCAAGATATTATCAGCAGATAAGACTCTTATCAGCGTATAAATTATATTGTTGTTTATAGGTTGGTGTACACACAGTTGAAATCTGACATTTGCGATTCTACAAGTTTAACAGCAGTTCCTATCGGATTCAAGCAACAACTGAACATAGCCTGGCTATAGGCGGATTTCTTGTGTTATAAAAGCGGTCAAACGCAAATAAGTTGGCATATTTTTCTAATATCATTATCTTTTTTATTTTCTTTAACGCGCCGAAGTAAACCGAAACCGATTGCGTAGATATATATATTGTCGTAGTTTTTTTTCGGGTATTGAAAGCGGATATTCGTCCTAATCCAATGGATGAAGGATATTCGAATAATGCAACGACGTTTCGCGAAAGCCGTGAACCGGTGGCAGCCGTAGGCCGAAACCCGTTGGAGGCATCACTTCTCGGACCAACAGCAACACAGAGCGTCCGGCGTCCCGTACCCGCAGTAGCCACGGCCGGTATTCAGCGCAGAAGAGTGATAAAGAAACATATCCAACAGAAGTATATGTTGTGTGGTTTCGTAATACATGTACATACATAAGTACAAGCAAAAAACAAAAACAACTAACTCTAAACATGCAGACGTTTAACTAAAGATACGATTTAGAAAAGCAAACACAAAGCTAATATCATCATTTGGAAGAGCAAAACTATTTATTGTCACACAATGCAAAATATTCCATTGAAATTCACTTTTAAGATAATCCCAGAAATGAGTAAAGATATAGTCTTGGTACTCTCTGTTCGTGTAGCCAAACAAAAAATGTACGATTCCAAACAAACCAAAAAATAAAAAACAAAAGAACAGAAAGAAGAATAATTTTCTTTTACAAAAATTACAACTTGAAAACATGTTAAGGATTTAAATAATCACGCAAAAATTTTAAAATATCTTTTCTGAGTAAAATAGTAAAAAAGCTGTATGTTCGGTCGGGCCGAACTATGAATACCCTCCACCATTTGGAACGAATTTGGCAATTCTCAAAAACAATAAAATCCGTTAAGAATTCTGTTATACCGAATGTAGCTGTTATATTAGGGTCTATACGACGACATGGACCTACATAGGTAACTTTTGTCATAAGCCATTACAATATTCAAATGCGAAACTTAAAAAAAATCGGTGAATAATGTCGCTAAAATCATCAAAATACCGAATATCGGGAGGTACCGTTATATGGGGCCTATACGAAGACGTGGACCTGCACAGACAATTTTCTGTCTTAGGCTGTAGTATCCATTACGAAATTCAAATACCAAATTTGAAACAATTCCCGTGAATAATGTGGCTACAATGATCAAAATGCCGAATATCGGGAGGTACCGTTATATGGGGGCTATACCAAATCGTGGACCTATATGGCCCATTTTCAATATGAAAAGTCCTGCAGATATAATATACATTTGAGTAAAATTTTATCAACCTACTTCATTTGGTTCGGAAGCTAAAGTGATTTTCACAGATGGACATTTGTGGGGTCTAAAATGTATATTTCGAGGTGTTACAAACGGAATGACAAACTTAGTATACCCTCCATACTATGGTGGAGGATATTTATGTAACGTTTAAATGGCAACCAGTAGTTGACGTTGTTAAAAGACTTACAATTATCCTATACCTAATAGAGAGAGAAATTAAATACCAAATAATTAGGAATGGAATTGGAATGGAATATATTTTGCAAACTTGTCTCCTACCCCTAAATAATTCAAAAAATTAAATAGCTCGGCTTAAAAATATGATCAAAGTCGCACTCTAAACAGATAACATGGCTCAGTTCTGCTATATTAGACGAATGCAAAAACTTCAACAGACAAGAAATTTCAAAATATTTAAATATTCAGAGATCAAATGAAAAGCGAACGATTAATTGTCAAATTTGCGTGAAATTAGGATTAAAGTCCTGTAAACCACTGAAATTAAAACAATGACAACTGTATATATATCGATAACAATATACTACAGATGCTATTGGGTTGTATATCGACAGCCCGACTGACCTTATATACATTAAATTAAACAATAAATATTGTACACGTAAAGTTGCATATATACTTTAAGAGTCCATACGCATATTTTATATAGTTACAAAAAAATATAAAAATGTATAATCGAACCTTTCGATCGGGAGCACTGCCTTGGCACATAATGTCTGCAGATGAATACTTTCGAAAAAGTATTGGATTATCGTAATGAAAATTGCATAAATACGAAAATAGAATCGAACTATTTTATAGCACACATAAATACATAATCATATCAACAATAACACAAAAAGCAAATAAAAAATGGTCACCTCTTAAAATAGTCCCCACATTATTTCTCTCCACAGGCATTTCTCGCCACACCCGCCTACTTGTACGGTAATGTCGTTGAGTCCGACAAAGATTTGGTGCTTCGCATTTGGCCAGCCATTGTATACATGGCTACGGGTCAGCTATGTCGCAGTATCCTAGAACATCTAGATACAGAGTATCATGGACGCACAAGGGAGACAATTAAATATCGAAAAGTATTTTTATTGGCCACTTTGATTACATTTTGTTCTCTAATGATAAGCGGAATATTCTTTTCTTCGGCGTGGATAAAAGTCACAACAACAACACAAATAATTGCCATCGTATTTTATGGCTTCTTTGGTGGTAAGATACTTGAATTATATCAGTCCAAGAATAATCTGAATAAAAATTCGCTAATTAAATAAATTGACTTCAGGAATCGGAGCTAGTCTATTCATATGGAAGACACACGTCATACTGGAAGCTGTGCGTCCACGAGAAGACAAATTCGTTTGCAAGACCATACATTTGTGTGGCGAAGCCTTTTGCCAGTTATTTTTATCCTTCGCATTTACCAATTTACGCACCCTGTACGGCACTGCACAGTCTATAGTTCTAATGTCTGCCCTATTAGTGAATCTCATACCTATAAGTCTTATTATAACTCGGCACCGCGAAGGGGCCATAACCCAGCGTATATCGGTAATAAAGACCGAGGCCACTTTTACGCCTTTGCACCATCAACTGGGGCGCTATGCCAATACATTTGCCGATCAGTTGGACGGCATAGAGTTGCGAACATGGAAAAATCCTCTGATGGAACATCATAATAGTGTGGCTGCCATGACATTGGCAGCAGCCGCGGTGGATAATCATCACTACATGTTGCCCACAGACCAAGTGGATGTAACATTCATCAATCCAAATGGGGTCGAAATAATGGAAATTATCCCAGAGGAGGACGAAACCGTGTCCGTAATGCGTTCCAGTTCGGCTACAATTGAGAATTACGGCAGATCCAACAGCATGAGTGCCTCGCAACAAATGCGAAAATCCAATTCCAATGGTTTGCAAATGAGTCGGGAAGGTGTAGTGGATTCTGGTTACAGTAATTTGGTATGCTCGAAGAATGTTCAAGAGATTCGCATGTATATTTTGTTTCCTTTATCCCGCAGGACAAGCTACAACAGTTTTCCAGAGATGTAACTTCTCACCTGTGGCTGAATCTTTTGGACAAAATAGCAGTGCCTCTCAAGAGGGCTCTACTGGTACCGCAATTGTATCCCACCACGTTCCTATTATCAGCCGACATCTTCTCGTATGTTATGTGTCTTACTGTGCTGCCCGGCTTGGCTGTGAGTCACCATGCCATTAAAAATGCCGAGATACCATTTCTATTTTCCCTGTTGGCTTTTCCTTGGATGTGTTTTTCGTTAATGACTCCCCGCTTTGGCAATAGCCTGTATAAACAAAAGTTCCAGTGGCATACGTTGGGATGCATTTCGAAAGGATTGGCTCTGATATGTAAGTTCAGGAAATTTTTAATAAAAATATTCAATCAAAAACTTAAACGATTTTTTGTTTCCAGTCATTAGTTTTTCTACCTCGAAGTTGTTGCTGAGTGTCTCCGCTGCCCTGCTGGGCTTTGGTCAATCGGTAACATTGTTTCTACAGGACTGGGTGCTACAAATGTGTATGAGTCGGGCACAGTGGCTGGCTATACGATACCCCCTGCATTTTACCAACGGCCTTCTGATCCTGGTTTGGGGTGCACTTGCCCACTGGGTGGTAGCTAACTTCACGTTTCAGGCCAGCGTTGGCTTAGCAGCAGGACTATATGCCATAAGCATAATGCTTTGGAATTTAGTATATTTGTGTGTTAGTTGTAGAAATTAAATATTAAAGAATTTCAGTAAAAGTAATACACTCCATTTATGTAAATCGGATGTGTTGTTAAATCTAAATGGTAAATCGATTATGAAAATGAAAAAGGTGGGTAGCTGGGGTCTCCAGTGCAAGGGAATAATCGAATTGTTTTCAATGAAAATACCTTTGAAAGACACTTACCTTTTCATGAATGCTTTTGGTCGTAGCCTTCTCTAAGTTTTTTGCAGTTACACCCGCGATACCCATGAAATACTCATTGCTACAAAAAATGAATAGATAAGAAAGGTAATTTATTTGAAGAGCACGCACAATAAATTATTATTACCAATTTTAAGTATTTAACCGCTTGCATTTGTATAACGTCTTGAGATTGTGATTTGCATTTCTTCAATTCTGATCTTGCATTAACGTTTGGTAATTTAATTTGATAGCATTCTTACTTTGTTGGAGGAGATGGAAGACTAATCCATTGAAATTCATCCTTATCAAGATTCAGGACAAACCACCATACTTCGTTACTGGCAACAATATCACAAGAATCGAGACTTGTCTAGATGATAAAGTTAATTCCAACTTGACAGACCGTTTTACTAATAAACAAGAGGGCTATCACAATTTCTAATTTGCAATACTTTTTGTTGAAATTTCAAGATTTAAATTCAATGCGTCTGTTCAATTGAATTGCGACGTGCAAATGAGGAGTCTTCCAAATGGCCAACAATACACAACACTATCACACTTTCTTCACTTTTTTTGGCTTTGTTTACAAATGTAACTTTTAATTAATTTATTATAAACACAACAATATGACTTCTACAGCTTTTATTCCTTCGTTTAGTCTGCTTGTTATTTCTTGAATTTGTTTGAAATTAATTGAAATATACTATCACCAATCGGATATAAATAACAAATAGACTTAATAAATGCATATTATAATAATAATTTAAGAATTCAATAAACTTCTTAACTACCAACCGACGCTTACGCTTCCGAGATAATAAAATAACGAATAACGGACTGTGCAATGTGGCATCTCTGAACCAAAAGGCGACATAGAACAAGACCAATAAAGGTGTGGAATCAAAACAGAAAGACCGACAAAGACATAAATACGTAAAGACTAGACAAGAAGCATATTCCAATAAATAGTGTGAAATTATGGTTATAGAGGGCTACAAATTTGACTGGAAAAAGTGCATTTTTCAAAGCTCTCTCAGCAAAAAAACTTAACAGCAATGTAAAAAATCTTTTGAAGAAAAGAGTTTCCCTGCATTTGTGAAAATGCTTCATACAAAATGCTTGTACAAAAAGGTTGACAATTATTTTGACAGCAACGTGGCATAATGAGGGATTTGCAATCACAATTATATTTTTGTTGTGAATTACACGACCGTTCAGTGGTCCATTATTCTGACAGTATTTCAAAGAAAATAGTTGTATTTCAATCACAATAGTTGTATTTCAATCACAATTGTGGTTTTCGTGAATTGCAACACATTTTCATATGAAAAAATGAAAGTAACATTTTTTGCAAAATACATTTTTATTTGTTTTGTTTTTCTCTTTCCGTTTTTTTCTCTTATATAAAATTTACGCTTCCAAAAAACGTACATACATAGTTTGAGGGGCGGAAGGAACTTGCTTTGTATTTATATAATTAGATTAGAAACACAATTTGAAATACTTTTTTTAACTTAATGCAAGCGAAAAAAATAAGGGGAACAAAAAAAGGGGAGTAAAGTAAAAAATGCATATTTATAAAGAAGTAATGAAACTCAACAGAACGATAATTGCATTCATGGTTTGGGCTTGTTATTGTTTGTTGAAGATTGTTGAGTAGAGTTCGTCGTTGTTTTATTTTTAAATGACATAGGTGGTAATAGTGGATTTGGTTGCTGGTTTTAGATTGTCTCAACATGCCAAACTTTGGTATTACAATCTTGACCAGTGGAGATCACAGTGTTATTGACCAGCCTTATAAAACGTGTAATCTGAGATTGTGGATGAGCATCTGCAATGAAGGTAACATAGCTTAGAAAATAAAGTAAAAAAGGAAACCTACTTTTGATGGTGGTGTGGTTGGCGAGATTGGTAACCGACCCGATAATAATGGTGGTATCCAAAGAACCACTGGCCACCAATTGGGAATTAGGTGACCAGGCCACAGTATTGACACGTGCATTATGGAAGCCCCATTCCTTGTTGTGGGCAGGCTGTAAAAACAAAATAATTCATATATTTTATATTTCAAACAAAATCTTTTATGGAAATTTACCTTTTATTCCTCCATATATACTTTCCAATATGGGAAATCAATATTTCGAGGTGTTACATAAGTTCTGGCCCAATCAAACTTATAATACCCCCAACCTAGTGTTGTAGGGTATAATTATCTTGATTGAAAGTGTTACACTTTAAATTGCAAATGCAAGTAGGACTTTTGGATAATGAACTTAAACTTTTGAGAAAACCATAAAGTGGGCGAAGCCGTTATATGGGGGCCACACCAAAACGGGAATCTATATAGGCAATTGTATACTACATAGATTGTTATGCATTGTGAGTCTTAAATGCCAAAGATGAAACAATTTCGTGGGTAAATGTAACTAGGATTATCAAAATAACGAATATCGGTGGGTCCTTCATATGGCGGCTACACCAAAACGTGCACCGATTTTCAATATCAGCCATCCTAGACACAATACAAATTGTTCTGCGGCATCGCTAAATCGATTTATAATCTTATGCTGATGAAGAATTTATATACATTATGCGGTCTAGGACAAATATTTAGGGATGTTACAAACGGAGTGACAAAGTTAATATACCCTCCTTTGAAAGTGGAGGGTATAAAAACATTATACACAAAAGTAAATATGTACACATATATTAAGTTCTTCATTGCATACATTTCAGAACTTACCAAGAACTTGCAATCCACCACTTTATATTTAACTCTGTTTTGGTGTGGAGGGATTAATCTTCTATTCAATTTCAAAGATCCACCTACTTAGCATGCATCATGACGCTTGACATTGCGTCTAAATAAAATTCCACGAAATGTGTGACTTCATCATGCCCCATCATCATTACCCCATGCTGCATTCCAAAACTTGGGACAGCTAATCTAAAAAGAAGAAACAATAGACTAATATATTGTACAATACAAAATAAAATGAACTTTAGAAAAATGTTCGAAATTATAACTTGTATTACCACTGAAAATGAATAAACGAATGAGGAAATGGCAGACGACGAAAGTTTAGTATTGTGTTGGCATTCTTCTCTTGAGCTTAAATCTGTTTCTCTCAATATTCCATTGCATTTAAGAGATTAGATATTTTCTCACTCCTGGTAATTAACATACACTGTTGTTATGATATCGTAACAACAGAGGTAAATCCACCTGGTGTTTATATTTTGACTCTGACTTGTCCTATCTTTATACTTCTATGTCTTTGTGCGGGTTCCCATTTCCCATAGTAATCCGCATGAAGCGACATCCACCACGTTTTGCAAATATTTTATGAAAATTATTAATTTTATCCCTTGCAAGGTCGAAAAATCAAATCCTGCAAATCCCTAATGGACAACGAATATGGATTTAGAAATCTACTAGAATTTAACTACGGGAATGTAGATGTCGCCAAATATAATCCAACGCTTTATTAATGTTATCAAGCATTTGTGAATGCCAATTGGCTGAATTTAATTTAATCTCAAACCATGGTAGAATCAAGAAGGTAAAGTCATGCAATCATGTTAAATGTTTATTTACAAACAGCGTTGCCTAAAATTTGACGAGGCGTACACAAATACTCAACTTTTCCACTATTGTAAAATGTTGTATACGTCCGTATTACGAAAATACGCCAGGGGCTGGATTCTTGTTCTATGAAATTTTGAAATGAAAAATATTTTCTTTATAACATTTTTCAATTGACATTTTTTTCGTTTACAAATGTATTCATAGAACAAGAATTGTGGCCCAAGTCCATATCTGCCAATAAATAACGTAGCAAAAATTGATAATTTTCCAAATTTTCCCAATTTTTATATTTTTCAATTACAAACATTAAAAATGTTTGTATCATTCATTTTTAATTTCAGCACAAAAAAAAGAAAATGTTTCAATTTGAAATTTTGTACGCCGGACGTATTTGGGTAGCCTTAATATATATAACGTCGACCAAGCATTCATATATCAGAGATGGGAACACAGTGTAATTTAAAAGAGTTAGTTACTCATGGTAAAGTTAAGAAGGTTTTAATTTCAAATAAAAAATATTCATCTTTGCAATTTCTGTAATGTGTATTGTATTCCCGGAATCCATCTTCTGGAACAGAACTAATGATATATCGATCATAATTAATATAGAGGACTTCGATGTAAACGTAGCATAAAAATTTAAATAATTTACGTCAACTCGTTCGCGCCATACGCTCTGCGTCGTATATTAGACAATGCAGTACAGCAAAAGACAAATGAAGTTGGATGCAAGTTGCAAAGAATCGTGTACGTGTGTGTGTGTGTGTAATAGCGGCTTTTTTCTTTACGTGAATTTTCGCAAAAATTTGGCTCAACTTTTCATTTTGGAAAAGATAAAATTGTGCTTTTCCCTGTTTATTATACCAAATCGTAATAATTCAATGCAGGAAGAATAGATAGACCTCCATTTGTTGGAAAATTTATCGAGCAAAGCACACAAGTGCCAACAACGAAGAATCGCAGACGCTCCTTGTGCCAGCAAGCGGCCATAGTGAATTGTAAATTGTGTGTAGTGAGTTCAAACGACGCAGAGCTGACTAGGGGCGCTCAAATTTAAGGTGAAAAATAAAATTTGAACGATCGTGGTAGAGCCGAAAGGAACACACAGCACTATTCTGGGCTTTGAATTGTCGATGGGTAAAAAGGCTTTTAAAGCCGTTCCGAGAAATTTGCATTGATGATGTACATTGAACATACTGGCCTGGAAGATAATCTACATCACATACTTACTAATCGGGTACCGACATCGAGCAGCCCAAGCGCCGCTGCAGCATCTGCGCTATTGCTGGCGCGAGTGAGGGAGGCGGCGCATAGCGCAACGTCGCAAGAGGCGAGGGAGGCAGAGAATCAGAAGTGCAATAAGGAGTGGGTACGACGTCCCGAACCCAAACTAGTGCCGGTTGAAAGTCTGAATACATTGGATGTGGTAAAGCAATTGGCATCCAGGCCGAAAGAAACAAACGGCACCATAGATCAATTGGCAAAGAGCGAGGCACAGGACGAAAAAGAAGAGGAGCAGTACGAAATATTGCATATTGAAGATATCGATCAAGTAGAGCCACCAGTTAAGCCAACAGCGGGAGAAAGGCCAATAGACTCTGCTGAAAGAAAGCCTGTTGCAGATACTACACATTTTGTTATTGATATCCAGAGGAACGAAATACAGGAAAACCTCGAGGAAAGAGCGATTCTGGACGAAGACGAAGAATACGAGTACATAGTGACACGTGTGCCCAAGAGGAAAGTTCCATCACAATTCCTTCAACACAAAGAGGTCAATCAGAGTATACCCGTACAGGTTAGTTGCTATTAAAATGTTTTTATTCTGTTGTGTGCCTTGTTGGATACTTAGTTTTATAGAAAATTCATTTGGAGCATAAAAATACTTAGCGAGTCCTTGACCCAGGTGTCCAGAATTCTGCAAAATATCCTTACATGTCTTATTTAATTTTTAAAAAAGGGTAAATTGGAAAAATATTGAACCGGATATGATAAATAATTACTAACAATTGACATACTTATATTTATTTGCCGTATCTGAAACCACAATATGTTTTAAAAATGGGGGACGAACAATTCCAATAAATCAAAAACTGTATTTCAAAAAAAAAAAAAAAAAAATGAGTGGAAAACCTGATCCCAAATTAGTTTTTTAATAAATTTTAAATAATATATTGAAATTTGAATAGTTTTTTTTTTCTATTTTCTAATTTATTTACTTTTTTTTTTTTTTTGCTTTACATTGGAGTCATTAAATTAATAAGTCACATACAATATTTATATATGTATTTTTTGATGTATTATGGAAATTACTGACGCAATGCTTTCGTTTTTAGACCCATTTTAATCGAGAATCCAAGAGGAAGATTAGACCAGTTCCAGAAGCAATTCCGATTGATATACATCAACGTAAAATATTGAACGGTAGTTTACCACTTCCTGAAATAAAACCTCTTAGCCCAAAACGGGGTAATATAACAAGTGAGCCCAGTTTTGTCGACAATTTTGATTACAATTCGTATCAGGATACTGCCACAGCTGCGTTATCACAGGGCTACTGTCAAGCTTCGCACAATAAAGACGTCCAAATGGGCATCGATATACTGAGCAAAATAAGACAATTTTTCAATTGGTTACCAACGAATCAATACGATACTACCAGTCCGGATCATCAAGAAGGCAAAAGGAAAAGGAGGTAAGACAATTGATTTAATTATTATCTTTCATAATTATCCAATCCATTTTACGAAACCTTACTAACTAAATCTTAATTTTCAGATCGGAAGACTATTCGGAATCGGCGAGTGAACGTTTGATCAAGTACCGCAAGGTGGAGAATCACTTTCCTAAATACGTCACCCAAACGAAGGATGACGACATAATTGAATTCTTACCACCTGCACCACCACAACAATCGAGAAAACCATTCTACTCAACTAATATGTCAACAGGTCGTCGTTCGCTTTTAGGTACGACGGCCATCAATTCATCCTTATTTAGTACTCCAGTTATACGAGATTATCGATTATTTACAGATAAGCCACCCTTGCGGAAGTCAATGTTTTCAGTCCCACAAATAACTACACGCTTAATCAAGAATACCTCTTATGCTGATATTGAATTTTCGGATGACGATGAACCACAATTGGTTTTGCCATCCACGTCAAGTGATGTCAGACGCGTGCCCCAAATCCGCAACATTCCCATAATTCAAACAGATGAACGCTGTAACTCTGTCAGTCAAAAACCTCCTCCACCTCTGCTAGAACCCCGTACTGGGGCTATTTTGTCTTCTGGAGATGATTTATTGCGTCGACCATCCTATGCTGACGCCCTACGTCAAAGCAATCCACGCGTTTCCTCTGTCCGAGTTGGAAATGTTTTGGGCACACGGAACAACAGCCTTTCCTCTTCGGGAGGTGCAACTCCATCCGAGTCCTCGCGGTTTCTCAATGGATTTAGCAGTTTACGCACAAATGCTTCGTCAAATATGGCACGTCCTTCAATATTAGCACAAGAAAAGGAAAGCGATGAGCGCGAGAAGTACCAACAACTTTTGAAACAGGTGGCGCCTGGCGTATATGGTTTCTCCTGTGAAAATAAAATACCCACACCGTCTCAGCGCAGACGATCAGGTTTTATGTCGGCAGCAGCAGCAACATCCTCAGCTAGAAGTTCTCCTGCGAATGCTAGAAGGTCAGTGGGCTTGGGCCAGTCAGTTTTGAAGCGTCCTCCTTTATCTTCTACCATCAATTTGGATGACGAAGAAGACGATGAAGTCATTTTTTTGAACAACACATCGAAAGCTTCCAAGATAAAAGGCGCTGTTGTTATCGATGATGATGGAGATAATGATATATCTGAAATAATTGATTTAGAGAGTGCTGCCGATCGGCATGTTTTGTCACAATGTGCTAAAATCAAACAGGAAGAAAATTCTCTTAGTAAATCCGGAGCAGAGAATGCGAACGTTCGCAAGAAAATGTCATTGTAAGAAGAGGGCTACACTGACGAAAAACAATTTGTTACTCATTTTAACACATTCTCCATTTCAGACCTTTCGTAGAACCAGTCAACACATTTAAAGAGAGGATAAGTTCCTGCCCACACATCAAGGATAATTGGTTGGAGAATTTGCAGTCAAAATGGTCCATTCGTAAGAAGAACCGACTTGATGAAGTCCAAGAGACGGCCAAAGTGTAAGAGAACCCTTTCTTATCTTTCTTTCCAATGATAGCTTTATATTTTTTCTTGATTGGATAGAGTTGAAAAACTTGCCTTAGAACGCAAAGCAGCTGAGGCTGATATCCAAGAACGTTTGCGAAACTTCCAAATAGTCGATCCTGGACTATTTGTGGTAGACGACTTTGAAGATGTCGAACCTGAACCCGAGTTTGTTGAGCTGACTCCAGAACACAGGGCACGAATAAACGCTTCCGTATGTGGTCCACTAGATCAGGTAAGCTAACTTCTTTGAGTTAAATATGCGAACAGGTGGTAAGATATTTCTGTTCATACTCTTTAGGTGTTGGTGTCGAAATTCAATTTGAACATAACACGACGTGACATTCACACCTTGTGCGGCCACAACTGGCTGAACGATGAGGTGATCAATTTCTACATGAACCTCCTAACCGAGCGTGGGGATCTCAAAAGCAAATCCCATGGCCTACCCTCTGTTTATGCCATGAACACATTCTTCGTGCCCCGTTTAATGCAGGCTGGTCACGCAGGCGTCAAGCGCTGGACGCGCAAAGTTGATATATTTTCCAAGGATGTGATTCCCGTACCCGTACATGTGGGTGGAGTTCATTGGTGCATGGCTATAATACATATGAAGAATCGCACTATTAAATACTACGACTCAATGGGTACTCCTAATCCAAGTGTGCTCAAAGCTCTGGAACAATATCTAAAGGACGAGTCGCTCGACAAGCGTAAACAGCCCTTCGACACAAGCGATTTCCAGATAGAATCTGTACAGGGTGTTCCACGTCAAATGAACGGCAGTGATTGTGGGGTCTTCAGCTGCATGTTTGCCGAGTACATAACACGAAACAAAGAAATCACCTTCTCGCAACAGCACATGGAATATTTCAGAGATAAAATGATTCTGGAAATCGTTACCGGGGAATTATTGCAGTAGTGGATTGCAGAGTAGGTCCACTTAAAAACAACAATAAATGAGCATTTCTTTGCTTTCGTAGTTTATACTTTTTGTACGTATCGTAACTTTCAGAATCCCTCCCATTTTCTTCTTCCTTTCCATTTGTACCAATACATTTTTCATGCATTGAATATTTAGTTATTTTTTCTTTTTTTGTTTTCATTATTTTTCATCGTGAATTAAGGTCATAAGGGAATTTGGTTTTGCTATTTAATTCTTTGCGATGCAATTCACTTCAGCAGCACATACCCATATTTCCATTCTCCTCTGCGCCCTCTGAAGTAATAGAAAATAGCAATTACAGTAAATACAAATATCTTAATTTATTTCTTAACATTAACTGCATATAAATATACCTAGAACACTACTATAATAATGATAAATAAATATGAACAAACCCAATAGTTTGAAGTAAGAATCGATTGTGTAATTGCATTCACCCACTACATTGATTTGCATTCGCTACGAAAAAGAAAAGGATAACCAACAGGACGTCGTCATATATATGAATGCAAACTGGCGAAAACGTTGAAGTGGATGTCACCTCACCACATACACACAAAATATTATTACTTCTTCAGCTACTACTTCTTTGATATTAAGTGTATTTGTGTAAGAAAATATTTAATTTTTATTTTGCAAATCATAATGATTATGAGTTTAAATGATAATCGGAAAATTCAAGAATAAATTCCTAAAACGTTATTAACTGTGTGTGAATCTTTTTGAGGAAATGATGCTGTAACCTTAAATGGAAAATATAAAATTATGTACATTACAACGAGGCAATATCCAAATCGTCTAACAGTGATGAACAAATTTACACCATATAGAAGATTATATTGAATATTATTTTGTTGGGGGAATTCGTTGCTGACCCTACGTCACAATGAAATCTTCAGTGACCGTTTTTTCATAAAAACTGCGGCATTTCATTAAAGCAGCGTCCAGTTTCCTCTTTTAAGGAAACTGATGCAGCAATTGAATCGTTTTTCTGGCTGTATAACACAGTGACACTTCGAGGATGTATTTGCTTCTCGTGAATCATTTAAGTATTTTCTTCAACCCACACATACAGCCATGTCATAAAATCGAATCGGAATGGTTTAAATTCCGTAATTCAAAATCGATCGTTTTTGTTTCTGCTTCTTCTGATTCCGAACGATTTGGTGAACTACGAAAATCTCATTATTCAGTGTAAATATGGCAACAATAGAGGAATAAAAGAACGAATGAATGAGAGATGTTTCGAACCCCTTGTTCCACCCAGTGCAGTGTGAACAATTTAATAACAAGTTTTATTTAAACTTATAAATCAATTCTTGTGGAGCAAGCACAATGAATTAAACATTAATTAACACATGGTACAATTACCAAGGTAATCCCTTGCTGTCAGACGATTATTTTTTTTTTTATTGTATGTCCCTTCATTGTCAAATTGTACAAGTGGCAAGGCCAAATGTTTTGTTTTCACGCCTTTTGGATGGTATAAAATTTAAGGAAGATTAAAATCTAAAACTGATAAAGCATGTAAGTCGTTATTGAATGATTGGATTTTCTTTTCGCCTGGGACAAGTATTAGGGCAATACCACGCCTTGTTTACTTCATTCTTCATTTTTAGTCGAATTGGCATTCAATTCATTACAGGGAATTGTAAAATCTGCCACTCGTCATACGTAAATATTTTAGATATAAAAATAAATTTTATTTGAATAGTGGCAAGGTCAAGTTCCCCAGAAGAGGGCTGCCATATTCAATTCAGAAAATGAGTCTAACTCTTTGATGTTCCCAAGCGTTGATGCATCTACCTGTATTCTTCTACCATGGTTTTCTGAAATGAATAATTTTTGTTGGAAAAAATTGGAATTCTAGAAAAATAATGGGGCAACACTTTGTTAATAATTTGCTTCGTCAATTGAGAAACAATTAACATTTGCTAATTATTTTAAATAAAAAGATAAAAAATTTAATTGTGAATTTGTTAATAAAACAAATTTTTCATTACCCAAAATTCGACGTACTTAGTCGACGTTTTTCACCGCATAAGTGAAACACATGTATTTAATACTACTTGCATACAATATTACAAAGTTAAACATTTTCAACATTAACAATTCAATAATTTATTTTTTATACCCTACAACACTATGTGTTGGGGGTATTATAAGTTTGATTGGGCCAAAAATTATGTAACACCTCGAAATATTGATTTCCCACATAGGAAAGTATATATGGATCTTCCTATCTCGCCGAGTTGAGTCGATCTAGCTATGTATGTCCGTCCGTCCGTCTGTCCGTCTGTCCGTCTGTCCATGTTAATTTGTAATCACTCTACAGGTCGCAATTATGACCCGATCTTCACGAAATTTAGAATGGAGGTGGGGCTAGGGTCAGAATAGAACCCTATTTCTTTTGGAGATGTTCGCATAATATTTAGGGGTCGAAATGGACCAAATACTGAAAAAATGTCGGATTTTGCAGTAGCTATACAGGTCACACTTGTAGGCCTATCAACGCGGAATTTCGCATGTAGCTAGAGTTTAGGGCGGGGAAGAAGCCTACCAATTTGGGTGGTCATCGGATAATATTTAGCGGGTAAAATAGACCATATCTTTTGTGTTGAAAAAATTCAAAATTTTTCATTAAACCGTGAATTTTTAAAATCCCGGCGAAATCACAAAGTCATGACAAGGTTACTTCTGACCTTTACATTGATGTTAACATCCAACAAATCGGATATATAGCAAAATATGTGCGATATATATGTTTATCAAAGAAGATATGCTTGAAAAATCTCTTATATGTCGAGAACGGCTGAACTGATTTCGACAGTTCTCATTAATTCAGAATGGCCACTTGGCAGGAAAGAAAAAACGTCTAAAAAAATCGCATAAAAATATCTCTCTAAAGATGAAAATATGGATTTTGTAAAATTTTCTCATATTTTTTCAATTTTGTCATATTTTTGGCATATTTTCATTTTGAATTAAACATTTGGTAATATTTCTACTGCTAACAAAACTAAGTAGTTAGGATATCAGGATATCATATACAGATCGCATTTATGGCCCGATCCTTACGAAATTTTGCATGGAGATAAGATGAGGGTCAGAATAGAAGCCTACTCTTTTTGGGGATGATCGCCCTATATTTAGGGGTTGAAATGGACCAAAAAACTGCAAAATTGTCTGCATGTCGTAATTATCGCCCGATCCTCACGCACATTTGAATGGGAGTTACCGGACATTACAAAAGCCAAGCAGTTTTGGATGGCCATCGAAAAAGTTCCAATGTGTGACATAGTTTGCCAACTTTTGTAGACAAAATACGAAAATGTCCATTCCAGTGACTTTTTGGAGAATTCACAAATACAGGAAAGACGCACTTCTGACTATTTCGTTAACGCTGATTTCGTTGAGTCAAAAACCAATAATAAATATTAATCTTTTACCACTTCTGAGAGATAATAGGTCTTTGGGAAATATTGGTCCCAGATCTAAGAAGACCATTTACGTGCAATATCTACCAATAAATTGGAAATGAGCAAATTAGTTTAAGTTGCTATTATTCGAAAATTAGAAAAATTATTTGTTACAATATCTTGTGAAATTCTTTCGAGTATCTCGCCTATATAAACTGTATCATTTATTATAGTGTTGTAGGGTATTCAACGGTCGGCCCCGCTCGACTGTAGCCTTTGCTTACTTGTTTTGTGTTGAAAATATAAATGTACTATTCAACAAGTAAAAAAGCAGTAAATTCAGCCGGACCGAACTTTGAATACCTTCCACCATTTGGAACGAATTTGGAAATTTAAAAAAAAAATAAAATCCGTTAAAATCTCAAAAATACCGAATATAACCGTTGTATTTGGTTCTATACGAAGACGTGCATGGGAAAATTTTGTCGCAAGCCAGTACAATATTCAAACATGAAACGTGAACAAATTCGGGCGAACAATTTAGCTAAAATCATCAAAATAAGGAATATAGAGAGGTACCGTTATATCGGGGCTATATGAGGACCTATACCTAAATAGACAATTTTCTGTCAAAGGCTGTAGCACCTTTTTGGAACTTTAAATTCGAAGTTTCAAACAATTTCGATGAATATTGTACCCAAAATCGTCAGAATAACGAATAGAGTTACAGTTATATGGGGCTATACGAAGACGTGAACCTGCACATACAATTTTCAGTCTTAGGCTTTAGTATCCATTACGAACTTCAAATACCAAATCTGAAACAATTCCGATGAATAATGTTGTTAAAATCATCAAAATACCGAATACCGGGAGGTACCACTATATGGGGGCTATACCAAAACGTGGACCTACATGTCTCATCTTCAATACCAAAAGTCCTACAGACATAATACACATTTGAGTAAAATTTTATAAACCTACTTCATTTCGTTCGGAAGCTAGAGGGATTTCCACAGACGGACGGACATCGCTAAATCGACATAGAATTTTAATGCTGATTAAGAATATATATACTTTGTGGGTCTAAAATGAATATTTCGAGGTGTTACAAACGGAATGACAAACTTAATATACCCACCATACTATGGTGGAGGGTATACAAAATGTAGTTGAAATTGGAAAATATTAGAATTGGGTTAATTTTAAGAAATATGAATTTTAACCACAAAACATTTTACTATAGTGGGAAGTTGAATATTTGTGTGCGCTACGTTGAATTTTAGCTAACGCTGTTAGTTGAAAGTGTTTTAAAAATGTTTTAAATTTACAACATTAATATAATATATTATTAAATTATTAATATCCTTCTATAGATTGTGTGATTACACCAGACAGACGAATAGACTGACATTTCATATTTACCCTGACCAAGAATATACCTTTATATATTTTTTGGATCTTACTTGATTATTTCGTGGAGTTATAAACGGAATGGCCAAGTTAATATACCCCACAAAGTATGGTAAAGGGATAAAATGATTTTGGATTGTTTTTAAAAACCTCTATCAACTTATTATGGCGATGATGGTGTTCGTGTTTGCTTGTATGTACGCTTGCACGTTCGATTCAAACATGTTCGGTTTTACAACCGTGAGTTGTTTGTATGCTAGCTTCGTTGTGTATGAATCAATTCAATTCATTCGTTAACTCGACGTCGACGAGCGCGAACGTCTTTGCAATGCGCCTGTAAAAGATATTCGAATTTGAATACGGAAACAAGTAACGGTTTTATGAATAAGTGCGAAATTTGTGATTTTTTTTGTTAAATTAAGTGAGTGGTAATATTGAAAGAATATATGCTTTTGTTGGAATACTTTTCAAAAATGTAAAAACGAAGGTTTCTGTTTTATTTTATCATATTTTTTTTGTAAAAACAAATGAATAAAAATTAAAAAAAAATACCAAGAATTGAAACATAATAAAGTAGTCAGCACGTTCCAAGAAACAACAACAAATGCTCGAATTAGACGCCAACATCCAAAAGAACAACAATGAGCGCCAACCGATATCTGTCCTCATCTAAGGCAAAATAGCCAAGCCAAGTGAACACAGAACGCCAACATTGAATATTAAAGACATCGTGAGTGAGTATCTTGTTGAGACAGAGATACAATAAACACTATTCTTCTGGTCTTGCTGATGTTGTTGTTGTCGTCGTTCTTTGACGTTTGGCGTTTGCTGTTTTCCCGTTGCTGCCAACGTTGCTGTTTTGCCGTTAGAAACTGGCTGCTGTTGTTGCTGCTGCTCTGCTATTGCTGTTTTCGTACATCGCTCGAAAGCGAAATGTGAAAACAAGAGTTCCAACATTTTCAAAATCTTTGACTCAATTCAGTTGGTGTTGAATTCTCGCGGCGGTTAGATCAAAATTTTTGTAGTCTATATTGGCCGACTCGCTAGATCAGAGTGTATATTTGAATATCTATATAGGTAGCCACATGTGTACACACACACACATAATATATGAGCAAAGAAATACCTATACATATATAGAAATAGATTCTAAAAAGTGAGCAAATCGTTTGGATCGAACACACCAGTTTGGTTGTGAGTAGTAAAGTGTCTTGAAATGAATATAAATAATTTTGTGAGGAAGAAATAAAGAAAAAAAAAAATATTAACCTTCGGATTAAAAAAGAAAAAATAATTTTGAAAAAAATATATAGTGATAAAAGGAAACAAAGTTGATAAGTGTGAAATAAAAACAAAAAAAACATACCTTACTAATTACAAATAATGTAACAAATATAAAACTATAAACCAAGCAATGCATATGGCTGAAATTGATGGATAACGAAACGTAATTTAAAATTATTAAAGTGTTTTCATTTTGCAAAACGAGTCTGTGTGACCCCTTGGGATTTGCTAAAAGTTACCTTGACCTCAAACAATAAATATGTCAATTAAAATATGTATGTGTATATTTGATGTATTCTAAATACTGAAATAACTCAAAACGTCTCTTTGGAGACGAATTTACCAAAAAAATATATATTTCGCTTGATTGGACTGTAGAAAACTGTTCAATTTGATGTAAAATGTAAGTTAAGGAGTCGATCATCTCAATTTTTGAGTTTGGATTGGGCGGACTTTTTATACATGAGCAATGTGCTGAGACCTGTAAAAATTGTATAAAATGTTTCGGGATAGTTTTCCAATTGTTCTTAAGACCACTTAATATAAACCCATATAGTTCGATTATGGCTTGGACTTTAAAACACCAATAATTGACAGGGGTCCTAAAATGGAGGATACTCTTAACTGACATGGGGGTTTATGTTTAACATTTTTGACGAGTACGCCTTCCACCCGTTAGGCGTCAAAATTAAAGATATCACCTTCTTTGATCAGGAGAATGGGCGAGACATTTTAGAGCACCTGACCGTGATCAGTAACCATATTGAATATTGTTATTATGGCTTTTCAAATAACAAACTGCTGACAATTTGATTGATAATTTGGGCTCAAAATGTGTTGCAAATGAGTTCTATACCAAATGAGTTGTTGGAACTTGAGACTGAAATCTCCAACATACATAAATGCAGGAGGTACCGATATATGAGGGATACATAAAATAATGGACCAATATAAATACATTTTTGGAGGAGAAGGTTCTATATATTAAACAGGTACTGATGCTAATATACTTTTGCAATATATCTCAATTACTCAAAGATTAGCATACTCAATATAATTGTTTTTTGCTTAGCAATTCTTATTTTTTCTACGAATCTTAACTTATAATTTTATCAAATTTTCACTTTGATATTTGTAGAACTTAAGGAGTTAGTTTAGTAAACACCTGTAAATATTGCTATATTCATAGTCAGGACAATACATCTAAACCATGTACATCTCATTTCCTATTTTAGTAATAAATTTGGCTCATAAATGCGCCAGGAATTCCTTCATTTCCGACCTTTAAAAATAGTACAATTTGTTGGTAAATATTTATACAGCCGAGAAAGAAATAGAAGCATTATTATATCCTCCACCTTGAAAAGGAGGGTATATTAACTTTGTCATTCATAATCAGCATCAAATTTTTAATCGATTTAACGATGTCTGTCTGTTGAAATCACGATACGGCCCACATTATTTGACGTGGAGCTTCACATTTTTGGCAGAACAATTTGTATTGTGTCTCGGATGATTGGTGTTGAAAATGAGATATATCGGTCCACGTTTTGGAATAGCCGCCATATAACCGTACCTTCCGATATTCGGTATTTTGATAAGTTTCGCAACATTTTTTCACGAATTTGTGTTAAAATTTGTTATTTGTTAGTCATAATTGGTTCTAGCTTTGGTGGCGACGCATTGTATACATAGGTCCACGTTTTTGTATAACCCCCATATAACGCTACCTCCCGATATTCGGTATTTTGATGAATTTTGCCACATTTTTCCACGGCATTTGTAGTTCGTAACGGGTCCTAGCGAAACATTGTATATATATTTCCACGTTTTCCTATAGCTCACATATAACAATACTCACCGATATTCGATTTTTTTGATAATCATATTCACGCTTACCCACGAAATTGTTTCAAATTTGGTTTTTAAGAAGATTTGGTAGATGACAATCCTTGAAGTATAAAATCGTTTATGAAGGTTCCCGTTTGCATTATCCTAACGGTTTTACTGGTATTTGTTGTACTCTTATATAAACGTGTTTTCTTTACCAAATGATGGAGGGTATTAAAAGTTCGGCCTGGCCGAACTTAATGTTTTTTTTAATTGTTGATTGGTTGAAATATTGATTTAGAAGAATTGACTTTTTGCGTTTTAAGTTTCCATACTTACTGGCCAAAGAAGTTATCTCCAAGTAAATTTCACATCACCCTCTTTTACCAGTCTACCACTAAATTCGATTTTTAGCATAGTTCTCGTTAAGAGCTTCCAACTACTCAATGGATGGATAATAAGGATAACCAGTTTTTCCCTCTGCAAAGAACAAATTTTATGTTTATATTTTGACACAAATATATATTTAGATATTGTTGATATTTCAATAACTTCATTTAAATCACTTTCCTTCCGAATTAGTTTCATATTGGAAACGATCGTGCGAAGAGTGCCATTTTTTGTACATTCCTCATTGCTGACTTTCATTTCAAATTTGGAATTGAACAATTTGTCCAAAATAGTTAATGTTTCCTCAATCAATGTTAGCAAGTGGGTAATTATCGAAACCGACACTCAACCCGACACTCAAGTGAGCGGCTCTGCAATTTTTACTTTATTGACCATTTTCACAACTTTGACCGCAGCCAACTGCTGCTGCAGTGCGGCGACAATAAAAGAGCACTGCACTTTGTTCTTCATATTTGGTGGTAATTGAAGGGTTAATGTGTCGCCGTACCTCCCCGATACGCTGCACGTAATAACATACATAAAACCTAGACGAAGTGTAAAAAAGAGAAAAACAAAAGATATCTATAAAGACAAGACAAAGTAGTAATGCCGATTAAGCGCTTAAACGTGGGCGCCAATAACTCACTTTTTGTGCTTTAACCAAGATCTCTAATGTCTAATCGAGTCCGAGTTGTGCGGCGTGGTATGTACATACGAACATACATACTATGTTTCGGTGTGGAAAACTCGTCAAAGCTATTACCAATCAATGGCATACAGAGAGAGAGGAAAATTAAAGTACCAGACAGCCGTTGGACGATCGCTGGTATGGCCAAATTATGGCTTGGGCATTTGTCATTACTTCAAATGACTGCGAATGAGCCCAAATTGATCGGCTGTCTTTTTTAATGACCATTTTTCTATTAGCGGCGGCCGTCACACATTGTGGCGAGTTTGGGGGGGCTATCGATTCTAAGGAATACCAAGCAACACCCAGAATTAAATGCGGCACTGTTTTATTAGTTTCCACATTCAATTGAAAATGCCAACCACGTTTACATTCGTTCATTGCCATAACTGATTTAAGTGGCAAAAGAAGCAAATGAAGTGAAGTGGGTGAGCTAAATTCGCTTGTAAAACAACGACTAAGGAAACCCACAACGATTCTCAAATACCATAGAGCAAATTGATCCAATTCCACGGATTCGGATTCTAATGGATAAATGTTTGAACAATTTATTATATAAGTTGGACAGATGTGTGCGAGGTTTGTTGTTTTTGTGGCTAGAATTCGGGCGGGCGACGCCAATCTAGTGTGTTTCCTTGCTACATCTATGGAAAGTAGAATCTTGGGTTGCTGTTGTTGTTGTTCTTGTTGTAGTATCTTTCGTATACGCGCAAATTGATCAAAATGTTAAAAAGCCAAATGATTTTGTTTTTGGTTCGGTTGTTGTTTCTTATTTTAGAACAACACATTCAGCAGCATTTCTTCGTCTTCGTCGTCGTCGTTGATGCTGCTGATGATGTTGTTGTTGGTGTGGGTATGGTTATGGTGTTGCTCATCAGCCGTGCCGTACCATACCGCATCACATCGCATCGCCAACAAAATCATCATCAATCCAATATTTTAAGATTCGTACGTACTTTTTGTTTTGTTTTTAGACTGGGTATTAGTCAGCAGCTGTAGCCTTAGCACATCACCATCCACAATAGCTAGGTGGTATGTATATTGGCAACGAGGGAGCAGCGTTTGGCTTGGAATCAGGGGCACTCGCTGGGAAATTTGTTTGCCAGACTAAATAAATAAAAGTTCACTAAAGTTGTTGGTGGAAAAATTGACTTTGATTTTCATTTCCATTTCTATTAATATATGAATGAGTGTATATGTGTGTACATATACTTGGAATCTCTTGTATTTTGAATGATTAGGAATTTCACATTAATTACAGAACTCTATATAAAAAATGGGAGCGTGACTTCTGCAGAGGAAATAATGCATCATTTGAATCCAAATTTGATTTATGCTCTTATGGACTTGATGCGTTTCCATTTTCATTGAGAAAATAAAAGTGTGATTTATTGTTTTGATGAATGAATACAGGGCAGGAGAAAGAGAAGGGCTGCAAGGGGTTTATTAGAAAAGGACCGATGAGTTTTGGTTTTTTTTTTTGCTATTTCAAACGTTCAAAGAATATCCTTTTATTGGAGATTGAGTTTGAGGCATATTTATCGTCATATATACAAATATATAACATCTTATTCAAAAAAAAAAAAAAAAAAAAAAAAAAACATAAATAAATAAAATAATAATAATAAAAAAATTAAGCAATTAAAAAAGCTGTAAGTTCGGCCTGGCTGAATTTTGAATACCCTCCACCATTTGGAACGAACAAACAATGTTCTGTCATAGGCTGTAGTATCTATTACGAACTTCAAATGCCAAATTTGAAAAAAATCCGGTGAATAATATCGCTAATATCATAAAAATACCGAATATCGGGAGGTGCCGTTATCTACCAAATTTTAGACAAATCCGTGAAAAAATGTAGCAAACATTATCAAAATACCGAATATCGGAAGGTACCGTTATATGGGGACTATACCAAAACGTGGACCGATACATCTCATTTTCAACACCAAGCATCCTAGACACAATACAAATTGTTCTGCTAAACGCTCTACTTCAAATAATGTGGGCTTATTTAATTCGACTTAGAATTTTATGCTGATTATGAATATATATACTTTATGGGCTCTACGACGAATATTTAGGGGTGTTACAAACGGTATGACAAAGTTTATATGCCCTCCTTTCCAAGCTGGAGGGTATAAAAATATTAATCAGAATACAAACATAAGACGATCTTGTAACAAGCTATATCTTCCAAAAAATGAGTTAGGGAAATGTTTTTGTCTGCAAGCAGATCAAGACCAAATATGAATTATATCTACGTGTACCAAATTCGGAGAACCAAGTCACTACCTACCATTACATCTATTAGAAAATTGTCGATATATGTCCTGGTTTTCGCAAATGTCATATATAATAGGATATTCGATATTAATTTGGCATTTGAAGTTCGTAATTCTTCTGGAAGAAAGTTTCCCATAGTGGTCAACAATTTCCTTTCCTTGCTTTTAGCGACAAACTCTCATTTTATCGATATTCTTATCCCAACATTCTTAGCCTTCAATAATATTTCCAGGGTAAAGCTTCTACACAGTAATATTTCCATTCATAGACATTGCGTACTGAAAAATCAATTGAAATCGAAAAAATTGTAGCACGAATTTGATGGGTCATATAACGCAACAAATTCCAAGGGGCACATCAAATTAACCACTGTAAATTAACATAAATTTATTGTTTACGTTTAAATAATAAATAAAAAAAGACTTTAAGGTCACTCTAAACAAAGTCTCAAAAAAATAATAACGACCACCACCAAACCAACACCTCCTACGCTGGTCTCAAAATATTGGCAATAGCAGGCAGTTCGAACAGCAGTGATACACAACTACCTACCTACTCACAGTCGAACGGATACGGATGGATAGTCATTCCGTCAATCAGACGGCCAAACCATTCATGGAAATATTAGAAAAAACAACAAAAAGAAAAAAAATCAAATGCAAATTGTCAAAGTAAATCATAAAAAGAAAACTGAAAAAAACAAGTGCAACTCGTTTAATGACATGAGGCGTGTGTGTATGTGCGTCCATTTAATATGCCATAATAACATAATATAATCTTTGTGAATTTTATGCAAAACTCGAAGCAAGAAAAAAAAAACAAACAACAAACAAAAGTGAAATAAATTTATAAAAATAAGTCAAAAGTGATGTCACTAAAGAAACAAAACAAAGCAAAAATCGAATAAAATATTAAAAAAAAAACACAAAAAACAAAAAACTACAATTTGTTGTTGCTGTTGTTGTCTCTTCTCGTCGTCTCAAGATCTGATGCTGTCATTTGAGTAAATATGTATGAATATATGAATCTCGTAAAAAAGAAACACCAAGCTCTGATGCGGTGCTCACGAGATCAATTTGTTGTCACTGAAATGAGATGAGACAACGGTTATTAGCAAAGACCCTGTGTGAGTGAGGCCATGTGTGTGTGTGCGTGCGTGTGGAGAGGAAATACAACTGTTGTTGGCTGGGCTCCATCGTTTGGGCGGCAAATATTTATTTGTTAGATTTCGCACACATTCTCAAACCTGAGTTCTCGCACATTTCATTGAGTGCCAATGAGGAGAACATTATGTCAGAGAACCAATTTGCCACCACAAAATAGCTTATTGTTGTTATTTTTGTTATATACAATAAATTGTTCATATTTGGAGTATGTTTTTATTAGACCGAAGCTTCACAATAGATGATCATTGATATAGCTCTTTGGCCGTCCGACCGACCCACCAACAACAGACATTATTGACACTTAACCTCCGGCATCTTTGCCTAACGCCAACAACTCCTACACCTCCCAAACTGCTCCCCCACGCACTCACACACACACACACATTCTGTTGACGTTTGTTGGCTGGTCTAGAGCAAATGAAAACATTGATCATGATCGAAATCGAAATTCTCGCCGATCTTGATATCTCTTCGCTAGCTAACCATTTGGTTAGCGTCTCTGTTGTTTATTTTTGCAGTCATCGCCGACGCCACCGTTGAATTGTGTTTTTTGAACAAGTTAATGTCTTTCGTTTTTGCGGCATTACGTCAGCAAAAAGTTTAGCAGTGTTTGTAGCAAGACCATGTTTAGTTTAGCTTTGGCATTTAACCCTTTTTCGCCCAAGTCAAATGATGGGAACTTGTAGTCTTTTTTTAACAGAACTAAATATTCTCTTCGTTAGTTTTTTTTTTCAAACTTTAAACATCACTATATCATAATAATATTAAATAAATATTAACTATATCGTTAGGATAGGTAACTTTTTGAAGAAAAATCAAATAAAATGATGGACTTGGGCCCGAGATAACTTTTTCAAATTAAAATTTAGTTATAGCTCTCATGTGTAGAAATACTCCAAAAGGTGAAACCCGTAATTTGCATGAGCATATTTGGTGGTATAATACGTCTTAAAATTTATATCGATAAAGCTATAGCTCTATATAAACACAAAGCTTCAATGTAGGCCCAAATTCGCGATCACAAAGGGTTAACATGGGACGCTCAATTTCGAAGCTTGACAAACTCAAAATGTGACAAAATACACAACAATTATTGTTTATATGATCGTGTGCGTATTTTATGTGTTTTTGATTTTTTTTTTTTTGCTCTCTGGGGTTCAGCTCGTTGTCTTTTTAGGCCAACCTTGACTTGTTACTTTAGACATACAAACTTGTAACAACGCAAATGTAGGTGTGTGTATCGGTGTGTCTATGTACGCACCGAGATATAGAGTAAACAATTAACAATGACAGTGACTCGAAGAGAGACTGAAAATAGTGTTGGTATTAAAAGTTTGTTATCGTTTTGAATTCGTTTGAGCTATCTTTTCCGTAACACGTAAAGCATACTTAAAAAAATACATGTTCTGGGTCAGTGTATAATGTCTTCAAATCAGATGAGAGTATCGACGTTTTCTTAAGGAATATCTTAGTCGTTAATATCTTAGTCGTTAAAACAGGTTCTTCCTATTTTGTATTTTTAAAGCATGCCCAAAAACAATTACTAAATTTTGCTAGAAGCTCAAGGGGAAATTATGAAAAAATTAATTATTGCGTGTTTCAAGGGAAAATTATAAAATAAACGATATTACCTCTTACTGTTTTGGTACCACAAATTCAATCTTACTTTGCCATATTTTCATAAGTTTTATGAAAAAATGTCCTATTTGAGGTAAAAAAGTGTTTCTTTGCCCAAACTGAATTAACAGTTTGGTATTTATTCTGGTGTTTTAATAAAATGAGGTAATGACGTTTGGTGTGAGTGTGTGACCCACTGTACTTCGATACTTCTTCACATTACAGTTTGTACTTGAATATCGTCTACCTCGGCCTATGACGACAATGTCTGTGTAAAGATAGGTAATTTAATCGTTTCTAATTGCTCATAAAAGCCTTATGGTGTTTGGCGCATCTTCGCTGTCGTTGTTTCGTTCTCTATTTCTTTTTTTTTTGCTAACAAAAGGGTGATAACGTGAAGATATGAAGAAAGAAACACATCACAAGAACGATGAATGTTTTCATCGTCAATTCAAAATGTTCAGCAAAAGACCTTGAGAAAGATTTGAATGAAACCCCCACCAAAAACTTTAAATTGACTAGAATTTCATATCATTGAACAATAGCAACAACAACAACAAATTGCCGTTTACATTATTATGTTTCATTTTTGTTTTTCTTCACTTCAGATAGATAACAACATCATATGTAACCCTTGAGAATTAATAAACGAACGAGCCCTTACCCTAACGCAATAAATAATGACGAATTCTAATTAAGTTATCCAAAGAAATAGAAATACAAATTCAAAAGAAATAGAAATAGAAAAAAATCTTCTGTGTCTGTGTGTTTAATTATTTTCGTTTTTCGTTAATAAATAATTGGAAAACACCAATATCACGCAATCGCCATCACCTCTTCAACGAAATCCTCAGAGAAGTGAAAACAACACCGAAATGAAAAAACTTCAAACAACGAACACGGCACGGCATCGATCGTTGCCGGCAGCACGCCATGGCAACAATTATTACATCACGAAAACTACCTCGGGATGGATGATCATCTTGGCCATCTGCTGTTTGGCAGTGGTGTGGCCTTTGGCCACAGCCTACAACGTCGATATACCCACATATGTGATCCACCAGCGGCCCGAACATAATTCCATGTTTGGCTTCAGCATTGCCCTGCACAAGGGGCCGTATACAAATTCGTAAGTAGCCATAAAATTTCTATATGTATATTATTATTTTTTTTTTAGAATTTTCTGTCTAAACAATGGTTTAGAGTATATAAATTGGAACAATTTTTGGGAAAACATATTTAGGGATTTTTTTATATTTTAAAAAAACATTAGATGTAATTTGTCCTGTTCCACAACCTATAATAATCTTATCTTGCAGTTCTGGAACAGACCAATTGTATGTCTCTCCATTAAATACAGTTTGAAATAATATATTCCAAACAAAGTTTTGAGGCAGCTAACATTGCGATCGAACCCGTGAAGGAAACCTAAGAACAAATGTTCCAAATCTAATGCTTATCTCTCTACAAATAATAGAAAGTAATTTATAACATAACTCTCTTCCATAACTCAAAAGTGAAATATACCCTGAAAAGGGATTTAATTTACCACACTTTGTTGGGCAACCTAGATTTGGTGAGTTTTGATTTATTGGGTGTCTGCCCAAAACTCCTACAGAATCCCTTTGCTTGATTTGGAATAAATCTCTCCCCGTCACTTTTGGGGGATATATGTTCTGTTGTTGTTGTTGTTGTTGAGTAAATTACTTTATTCTCAGTGAAAACAAACTCCGATGTGATAAACGTTGGCTTCTTTCTTATCTTCGCAGAGCGTTGGTGTATTCTTTCGATATTCGTTGCTGTTGTTGCAATTCTTTTTAAGAAGAATGTGAAAATGCGGCGTGTTATAAGCAGATAAATAATTGTGCTTAAATAATCAAGTGATATAACAATAAGTAAACAAGCACATTCATGTACATTGCCAGATAACCCTCCTCCATCTCCCGCACTCACAAAAGACCTTTTCAAATAAGGCCCTTGTTGTCGGGTTACATGGAAAAGATAAATTGGGGGTAATGATAAATACACATAGCGATTGTTTGCTACGTTTGCTGGCAACCGTGATGCTGGGAAAATTCTTGAATGCAGAACGAGAAGAACCAAAAAAAAAAAAATGACCTGGCCCAAATTTCACTCAATTGAGCTACACAATCATTTCTGGTAGAGAAGCATTAGACCTTAGCGAGTTTTGAAATCCTGGAGATATTCAACCTCATTTCAGATCAAAATTTTGAGAACTTCATAATAAGGTAGATGACAAATTAATTAGGTTAATCCGTATAAATATCGTTTTATCACCACCGTCGTCTGTCTGTTGAAGTGGCACATTATTTTTTTGTAAAGCTTTGAGAGTTAATTGGAATGTACCCACCTCTTTATTTTAAAAAGAATTAGCAAAATTTCCCAACAGAATAGGCAACAATTTAACACTTCCCATTATCAATTAGTAAATTCTCTCTATGTAAAAAATCATCCGCACAGGTTTATACAAGGTCGAAAGAATAAAAGAGAAATTCTTACGAGAATTTAAAACACGCTGCACGAATGTTGCTCTGCGGTATTTTGGCCCATTCCCGGCGAAGCGCTTGCTTGAGGTGGTCGACACTTTGGTATTTTTAGTGCCAACCTTGCGTTCCAAAATACTCCAGTGACCATTGTGCGAGGAAATGAAGCGAGGAACCTCTTTCTGTAACCATTCTTGGGTAACGCGTGCTGAGTGCGATGGTCCTGAGTCCTGTTGGAATGTCCAAGGTCTGCGGCCAAATTGTTTGCGTGCCCAAGGCTTTAATACATCCTCCAGATCATTTTCGTGATAATATTCGGCATTTATTCTGAAACCACGGTCGATTAATATAACCGAAGGTGACCTCTTGGCAAGTAAACCCGATCATTTTGTTTGTTTACAAAGTGCTGGACAACGAACGTCTTCTTTAAACCCCTATATAAAAGTTCGGCCCGGTCGAACTTACCTGCTTTTTAATTGGTTTTGTTCTTTTGTTTGACCGATGGAAGGGTTGAATTTGAGATATTCTGATTGTCAAGTTTGTCACACCAACACTCGGCCCCTGTAACGAACCTTAGTTTTCGTTTAACGTCAAAGCGCTTGACATTTTCCTTTTGTTTTGTGTTTGCCGACGTAGAGAGTCGAACCAGCGACCATAAGTTTTGTAGTTGAAGGTGTTAACTTTGTGCCGTCATCACTCATTACTTGGTAAAATAAATGTAAATTTTATGTGAATGACTGATTATTTTATGTCTTTCAAGTAATGCAGAAGATATTGTCATTATTTTTGCCATACCGGTAATGCATAGGGTATGTAGTTATCATTACTAGAGCTGCTGAAACGATACATTTGTCTACAACAGTTTTGTTGGATAGAGTTCGTTTCATACGTTTGTCATAATTCGTCACAGAACTAATCTGAAAACTTCCTAACAATAGTTTCCATGTTGTGTACAAATCTCCTTTGTCTCCAAAGATTAGAGAAAAATATAGTTGTGTGTGACTTCTCCAAGATGATAGGAGATATGATTGCATTGTTAGGATCCCTATTTATTTTCGTTTTTAAAAATAATTATTGCAGAAAAGGAATCTCAAAACAATTAATAGACTATTTGATCTGTTTCGTTTATCCTTGATATCCGTCACATCCGGTGGAAAATGTATTCATACCTCATGAAATTATTCACTTTTCAAATGTAGTCATCCATTAAATATTATGATTAATATCTTTGAGTTGGATTTGAAATATAAATAAATATTTATCAAATGCGGAATCTTTGAAGCATTCACACACACACACACAAATGCATAAATAAAAATAATGTCTTACAACCACATCCCCCACATTTGTGACCTTAAGTGGTGCACCAACCCCCAGTAAATATGACTTTTTTAACGTGAGATTTTTCGTTTGGTTTTTTCGTTTTGGTTTTTTCATTTTTTTGAATTGCAAGTCATTTGAAATGTGAGCACTTAAGTCGAGCAAGCCTACAAATGTAGAATGCATGGATCCACTAGCTGACTGACTGGCTCGCTGAATCGCTAGCTAGCTGACAGCTGTATTGTGCTTATGATCTGTTTAATACGATAGCCTTTGATCTCTCATCTTGTTCGTTCAAGTCCATTTTCTATAAATATGGTCATATGCGATGAATGCATGCCTCTTTCGCATTCAATGTCCAAAAGCGAGGAACACTCTCTGCGACTACATTAATCAAATTTCAAAATTTCTTTCGGCTTTGGTCTGCGGATCTTCTGGTCTAATGTCAAAAGTCGCGCATAGAGATTTCAGTTTCTGTGTTCGGTTAGATATTTCGCAAAGTAACACCGATAAATCGATGCACTTACAAGAAGAATGCAATGCTTTTTTTCTCATCGACAAAACGCCAAAAAGGGGGCAAACACAATACACGTACTTATGTATGTATGTAGGTGTAGGTGTGTTTGTTCGATGACCACATTGTATATCTATCCCTGTAGTAAGGTAAAAACGTATTTTAAGTCTTAAATAAACTTCCATAAACATTTTGAAATTTTTGGTATTTCTTTTTATTGCCCTAAAAGTTAAGAAATATTTGTTTCTTATTTTTTTTGTTTATTTTTAAAATGAAATTATAAATCACAACCACATGCAAAGTCTACCTGTGTGTGAGTGTGTGTATTGGCCAGCATGTTGGCTCACTCATCCGCTTGGTTAAAATGCTCTGTGGATATAAAAACATTAGGATGTCCTGGAGAAAAACAAAAAAATATATATGAGATTTAGTCCGTTTCGGGTAATATTGCCAAAAAAGAAAAACAAATATTATCGAAAATAATCATTGGCAATACATATTCAGGGTGAGATAAAAAACTACAACAAAGTCAAACGCCATAAATTTTACATTAAAATGTGCACTAAAATTCAATTCATTTAATCAAACCCAGAAATTGCTCAAATTCTTTCTTTGACCATCAAACGGAGCTGCACAAAAAAGTGGATAACCCGAACAATGTTACAGGTGCCACCCTAATGTATTTACATTTTGGTAAACATGTGTTGTAAATCTGTAACTTACAGAGTGTCGGTGTTTATTTTCTGTGTCCCAAATAGCTTTTAATGGTTTGCTAAAATATTTACATTGTTCTTGTAAAACGCTTTTTGGTTTTGGTATAACAGAAATTCCTTGGAATTCGAATCGCAGCAAAAACTCGAATAGCCAAATATAGCCAAAAAGATAACAAAGAATTTGAGAACAAAATTTTATTTAATCCGCCCTGTGATTTTGGGACAAGAATAAAAATTTAAATGGATTGGTCCCAATAAATAATAAGCAACAGAACTTTTTCACCTATGGATTAACATATTTTCAAATGCATTTATAAACCAAATCCCTTCAATAAAACATTGTTGTTGTTATTTGGCTAAACTTTTACACTTTAATGTTGACTGTAGATAAGGCCTTATAGTTGCAGGGCAGTTAATTGCTTTTCCGCCTTCTCTCAGCTACTAAGCTGCTCAGCTACTGATGGTGCAAATTTATTTGTTTAGCATTTCATGTTGGATTGTTGAGAACAAACAAGTGATAAACATTTAGCGGCAACATGTGTTTCAAACGTTCTGCAAATACTTTGGAAATCCAATCCACTTGAGCACTTGACTTGGTACTTCAGATAAAAACGAAGCTGCCACAACAACAGCAGCCACAAGTCATTGGCTTGAAGTCAACCAAGAGCAGCCAATCAAGTTGGCACAATGCTCTTTTGGTCAACAAATCCCAAATATTGGGTCACACTTTCCTTAAAAGAACCAAATCCGAATAACCAAACCAAGTCGGACGCACGGACACCGGGTAAGAGTTGTTTTTGCCCATTTCTTTCTCGGTTAAAATTCACCGGTTGGGGAACGTTGCAGTTACAGGCCATCGTTATCATCATCATACACGTTGCAGCCGTGCCACCAATACCCCCAAGTAGCCCACCTAATTAGTATGATGGCCAAGAACAAATTGTGCAAATTGTGGTTTAGGCCATAACACGTATGGCCGACAACGATGATGACCCATTCAGTTGGTGGTGGTGGTGGTGGAGTGGTGATGCCAAAGATGTTGTTGTGCATTGCTCGAACATGGTTAAATAGTGCAACG